CTTTATATATATATATATATATATATATATATATCTGCGCGCGCGTCGGGCGCGTATAAAACGCAATCTCTGTCGTCAGGTGCGCCCTTCGTGTCGCGCGAAATATTTACTCTTCCGAGCGATATGAATAGTTATTATGATAAATAGCAATACGCCGACATTCCGCCGACTCGGCGCGGAGCTCGTGCGTGTGTAACTCCCGCCGCGGCGTAGGATCGCAGGCGTTTCATCGCATTCATTTCTCAAGGATACCGCGCCTGAGAGCGAAGAGAAAAAAAATTGTTCTCTCTCCTTCGATTTAAATTTATAATCGACCGAGACGCGGCTGTGTGAAAAGAAGCGTAGCTTCTTGCAGCGAACGATATGAATATTTATAAACAAGCAATAGTTTAAAATATTCCCCGACAATTTGCCAGTATCGCGATAACGAACGCGATGTTGAAAAAAAAAAAAAAAAAACCGAACAAGTCCGACATATACTGGTCCTTTTCAAATTCGCCGAAACGATGTATATATATTTTATTTCGCAGAAAATTTTGCAATTGCGATCTATTTACGCTTTGAAATTTCATCTCGTAAAAATGATGAAAAAAAAAAAAAATTTACGCGCGATAATTTTTCTCTGAATTACGCGAAGCCGCGTGCTGTAGGTTTATTTTTGCGTTATTGTCCAGGTGAAAACCGGGGGAGATAGCAACCCGATTCGTGGAATACGGGGGCGAATTTGGTTTGAACTTCGGGGCCGTTTGCGCGATGCGGGGGCGGGTTCCTTTATTGAACCGTGCGATGCCAAAGCCCGAATGCCAAAGAGTAGCGGGATCGAAGGAACGTACGAACGAACCCTCCTTGGTCCCTCTCTCTCTCTGCAGCATCTCTCAATGCCGGGTAACAGGGACGCATTCCAGGGAGGCGCGCAGCTGCTTTCAACTTTGCCTCGCGCGTCCTGAAGCCGCGTTTCAGCTATACGTTTTCCATACAGCAGTGGCGGATTGTCGATGACGCGAAACGCTCGTCCTTTGGTGTCGAGAATTTCGCGTTTACCCAACGCATATCTCACGACATTGTACAATAATTTGTCATTGATTTTTTAAATCGATAGATGTCATTTTGATTTTTGATTATTCAATGTTAATTCTTTAGAAATTTTGTAATTTCACAAATTACTTTTGTTATTTAAGAGCCTGGCGCGTTGGTTACGTAACGCGTGTAATGGAATTAAAATAAATATAATTATTTAAAATCAATCAGTAAAAGAGAAATAGAAAGGAATTGTCCTATCGATCAGAATCTGTCATTGAAAAACGACATTCTGTTTTGCATTTTATTTTCTCGAATTTCTCTTGCGCGCGAGAAAGTTCTCAGCTTGATCTAAGGGTCTCTTCGAATTTTCTCCGCCACTGCGTACACCACCGGCGTTTCTCGTTTCGCTCTCTCGCACGCTCTCTCCCCGCTCTGCATTCCTAACAAAGTAGTCATCACGCATTCCTGGGACGCAATCGTGAACTTCCACCCTCGTTAGCAAAAGATGGATTCGCGCGCTAAAAGAGGACACGTTATTAGAATTCATTCCGCGATCGTCATCGACGTCGTTTGAATTCCGTCGAATTTCGCGAACTGCGTTCGACGCCGTTCGATTGTTTTTCGTCGCGCGATTCTCATACAGATTTACTTACTAGATAGCACACGATCTTTTTTAGAAACGCTTTTTTTCTCGCTCGTTTAAGTTAAACGAAAACTAATTCCGTCATCAATCGCGGCGAACATTACGAGGGGGGAGGAGAGAGATCACATTTCGTGAAAAGAATTCCGACGTCAGTGCACGCCGCAATGACGTCGCGACGTGCGGGAGACAAAAGCGTCAAGACTTCGCTATCGCGTATTACGATGCGGCGACACCCTCTCCATGCGTGACCAAAGGGTGTTTTAGGTGGCCCGCGCGGGCGGGGGATTCCACCTCCCTCGCACGAGGTGCATAATGCCGTATCGGCATAATTACACGGATGGCGTTAGTGTCACATCCCGAACAATATGCCCGAGGGGAAGAGACGTCGGGTTACATGTGCACCTGCGAGAGAGAATCATAATTCATCCGAGGACTCCGGGCCGACTTTTGTGCCGTTACGTGCCGTGAAATGGAACGGGTCATCGGGCATCCCTAATTTCGCTATTGTACGTTAGATAAGGGATCGATCGTCGGGGATCGAGACTCGGCCTACATCTGGAACATCGCGGCTTTAACTCTCCCGACGACAGCGCTCCGTCAACGTAAGCTATTGCGTGTAAATTAAAGCGCCTGTGATCCTCTGGTGCGCGCCTAATATATTAAAACAATAAATATACGTACACAACATTGACGACTTTAATTACGTGACGATGTAAGGAAAACACGTGCGTGTAATTTCGACAGTATATCCAATTTAAAAAGATCGCGTCTTCGTAGGAATTAAAAAAATTTCTCGACTATCGCACGCGCGTGCGAGTAATTAAAGATTTTCTCTTTAGATGGTTATTAATTCGCGGATATTGTTTTTTGAAATCTTGTTTCTCGACTGTGTCGAGATTTTCGCGACCCCACACACGGGGATCTATCGATTCCTGCGACGTATGTTCGCCGTCGCGTGCGATTAAGCGAGACTGAATACTAACTGGACTGGCCCGAGCAAGCGGGGGGCAGCCCCCCTCGGACTGCACGTGTTCCCCAGAATACTTTGCATCACCATTACCGCCAACTTGATGCCCCTTTGTATCGCGCATCCGAGGGGCATGCCTCGTAGTTTCGTTCCCAACTAGGCGTATCATTGGGGGATTCGTAACGCGCGCACAGGAACAGAGAGACAAAGAGACCTATATAGGCTTTTATTTGGCAAACATCGCCGATAGACGGCCCGTACAAAGGACCGCATTGTCGCATATTTACGCGGACTGACAAACGGCCAAATACTCGGTGCGCGCGGCAGCGACTTTCGGGGCGAAAAAATATGTCCCGGAGGTAGCCTCGCGCGTTCGAAAGTGGCATCGGTTATTAGCCCCATCCGCGAGGACAAAAGTGGCGCATGTCAAAAGCGAAAAGAGAGTCAAGAGAGAAAAAGAGAGAGAGAGAGAGAGAGAGAGACGGTTCGTCCGCTGTGCTACACAGGTCTCTGCGAGCAAAAGTTTCGTGTCAATATAATAGCACTTCTCCGCGCTCGCTATCTGCCTTCTCGTTTCACTTTGAGATTCTCGATTCGCATTATAAAACCCCCTAATGTGGTTGTTGTGAAATAATTTAATTAATATATCTCTTTGCTGAGATATTAAACAAATGCAAACACGAAACACGAGAGCACTCTTAGAAATAAATTAAAATAGACGAAGAATGAAAATTCTATAATGCAAACAAATATCAGAGCTGTCACAAAACGTAACTCGTCTCTAATTTTCTCTCTCTCTCTCTCTCTCTCTCTATATAAACTTGTTTCAAAATGATCTAGCAGCTCTATCCCGTTTCACCTGATCGCCCGTCGAAAAAAAAGATCCCGGCGGCGCCCGAGATCGATGTCCACCGGAATATACGTCACTGAATACGGCCAGCCTGGGATATTGATCCCCGGTCCGCATCGCCGCCGGTTGAGCACCCTCGGTGTCGTTTCGCCCCACCAACGAGAACGGGGAGCAAGGGCGGTTCCTAGCGACGCCAATCGCGCCTCCACCGCCGGCTTCGCGGACGACTTCCACGGGGGATGAACCCGCCCTCTTCACTCTCGCGTCGATGCCTCGTCTATCTCCAATGACGGAGACGAGACACGGGGATAGAGGAAGCTGCGCTCCGTGTGGGGGGACGGGGTACATTTGCGATGGGGGCGGCGGGGGAGGATGATTTTCGCTGTCGACGAAGTCGGTCCGTTTCGTCAAAAAAGCGACGGAGCTCGTGCTGACGACACGTAACGGGGGAACCTGTCACGTAATACGGAGTGTGCGTTTCCGAGTCGCCGATAATACCGGAGATGAGTAGTTGAGGAACTTGAGGAAGAAGGGGTTGCGTCAAGAACGTCGTCTTCGTGCGTGTCCGTCATGCCGCGCAGCCGTGACGTCTCGCGTCCCGCGATCGTTCGGGAAGAAAGTCGTCGCTTGACACCCTCGTGCGGCAAACACCTCGGCAGCTCGTCATGAGATTCGGATAAACGTAAATCGTCGTCCGTATCGATGAACCGTCGAGAGAGTTAATTGGTATCGCGCGTCGTTGAAGTTTTTTCTTCCCTCAACCGCGTCTTCCGTTCCGCTGCGATCTGTTTCGCGGGCGGTAAAATTCGTTCGATTGTTCAATCACGTAAAGATCGATCGCGGGGTGTAAAGTGACGTGAACTAATTTGCACACGACAGTGTTTGCTCGCGAAATTCTCGCGCGCCTCAGCACTCAGGCGAGCGAAACGCCTGTGGTGGGATGTGAATTCAAGAGAAAAAAATTATATAACGAAAATTCGCTGACAATTGAAGAAATTTGAAACGAAAACCGAACGAAAGTGAAAAAACGCGCGGATGTTGTCTCGCGAGAATGTCCCGTCGAATGTTGAAAAGAAATACAAGATATATACATAGGACAACTAGATGTCAATAAAAAAAGAGGAGAAATTTTCATTTTTTTCTTCAAAACACAAGGTTTTCCCTCGGGAAAGTTCAATCTCCTTGTTAGAGTTTAAGAATTTTATCATCCGGACGCTACACTAGAGTATGTGACCCTCGAGTGTGTGTTGTCCGACTTTTTTTAACAATAAAAAACTTTAGCGAAGACTGTGCGCGCGCGCGCGCGCGTGTGTGTGTGCGTGTGTGTGTGTTCGTTTCCGCGGAAAGACACCATGTTGGAATTCTATCCTCCGGCGTCTGGTTCTTTCACTCGACAGAGTGAACCGGGCCAACCCCTGCCGACGGTTCCACCTATTCCTTTTCGGCCTGCGACCGATAATAATAATGCAGGTAAAAAAAAAAAAATCCAATAAAATTAACAATCGAGCTTTTGAAATACAAAATTTTCGAGATTTTCGCCCGTCGCCCAAATTTGACGTCACCGAAAGTACGGCGAGAAAAATATGTCGGTGACGTCTTCGGCGACGATTTCACTATTTTAGACAACGAGGAGAGAAAGAAAACGATCGGCAACAATAGCAATCACTTAAATTTGCTCTCCAAAAAAATAAACAATAAATTTAATTTAAAGAGATACAAATTAATTTGCTCACCTAATGTCTCTCTAATTTCTACTTCGTTTAACAACGTCGTTCTTTGGCCGTCGGTCTTTGTCCCGCAGAGCCGCCCGTCGCGGTGAAGACGGAGTCCGGCCTCCTGGAGACGATCTGCGCCGGCTGCGGCCGCACCATCGCCGACAAGTACATGATGAGAGTCGCCGAGAGGAACTACCACGAGGAGTGCCTCTCGTGCACGGCATGCGGCGCGATGCTCTCGCACTCGTGTTTCATACGCGACCTCAAACCGTACTGTCGCACCGACTACGAGAGGATCTTCGGGGTGAAGTGCGCGCGATGCCTGGAGAAGATCAGCTGCTCGGACCTGGTGATGCGACCCGTGTCCGGACTGGTCTTTCACGTGGAGTGTTTCGCGTGCTGCATGTGCGGCCAGCCGTTGCCGAGGGGCGCGCATTATATTCTCAGGCAGGGCCAGCCGATCTGCAGACGAGACTTCGAGCACGAGTTGTTTTTAAATAGCCCGCAGGGTGAGTGTCCACGTGTGTCGATGGAAGATGTGCGTGCGTGCGTGCGTGCGTGCGTGCGTGTGTGTTCACGCGCGTTAGATCGCGTTTCGTTCGATCCCGTTTTTTCTGATTATTTTTTTGTGTTTTTATTTGTTGCTACTCGAGGCTTCGATGTGTGTTTTTGAATTTGAAGTAGCGATCAGAATTCGATCTGTCCGTCGCGTGTGCTTGTGTTGTTTACAGGAAAACACTGATTTTGTTTTTGTTTTTGTTTTTTTTTTTTTTAATCATTCAAGAGTCAAAAAGTCTCGACAAAAGTTCTCGCGGGAGAATCGAAAACAAAAACAAATCGAAAAAACACGATCGTGTTTGATACGATAACGAAATGTAAACAATACAACTGGTTCGAGAGTATAGCAACGCTATCGTTAGAACGACCATGTAAATTATATTAACAGATTGTAAACGAAAGCTTGCGCTCTATGATCGAACAGCATGGACACACGTTGCTTGTACAGAAGAATATTGTTCTTGTATAAATATATCATGAGGAAAAAAAAAACCAAAAACTATATAGCATGAAGAAAACTGCGTGACGCATATATTATCTTGCATGAGGGTTTTCAAACAGAAAAAAAAACCTATATTTTTTGTGTTACTTGCAAGTTTTGTTTCTTATCATCCTCTCGCTATGCCGGAACCACCGTCTCACATGTGGAAATCGAGCGAAATCCTGCGAAAAGCCTGGAATCGATATATTTCGATATTATTATAGTTTATTACTCCGGTAGAGCAAAAAAAAAAAAAAAAAGCCCCGAAGCGATCCGACTATTCGTTTCATATATATGTTTTCTGAATGAATAGAACAAACTGCTCAGTTATCCTTTGTATCGTCCTGTTTAACGAGCTTTTCGCGCGTTCTACGTCAAATTTCAAATATAATAACGACACCTCGATCACACCTAGCGAGATTGGCGAGTGACGCGAGAGTTTTCCGTTGCGAAAAGAAAAAACGTACCGCGTAGAAAAGCACCCCTTTGGACCGCGACAAAAAAAAAAAAAAAAAAAAAGAAACACGCGGAATGCCTGAAAGCGCGCCGAATGACAAATCAAATGACGTCGTTGAAGAAACGCATTTGTACATACCTTGTTGCATTGTTCGCAGGTTGTACTACAATCTAAAGACATCCAAAGTAAAAATCTACAGGAATTTCGAAACAGGGCTGTTCCCCTTTTCAAGGTAATTACATTTAAATCCAGCGTAAAAAAAAAACAAAAAAAAGGAAAAAGATCTCGAGAGAGGAGAGCGCAATTTGTTGAGCGCGTCGAGAGAGTTCGCCAATCTGTCGCGCGGAATATCGTCAAAAATTATCTCAGGGAGTAAATTGATGATACAACAAAAAAAAAGAGAGCGAGAAAAAAAGAATGGAATTTATTTCAAGCCGTTTATTCCGATCGAATATTTCGATATAGAAATTTATGGCGCGCGTTTCGAGATATTTTATGCGTTATTGGTGACGATAGAAAATGATGAAAGAGCAGTTTGTGAGCCATCTATTACACACACACACACACACACACACACACACGCTCACACGCTCAGACAACACATTCCTCGCTCCCTGATGTATATATTTCGCTCATGAAACACGAATGCGAAAAATCGACTCGTCGTAGTGTATAAAAAAATAATTTAAATGCGCAAAACAATATATATCCACAAGAGAAAATCAAGTATCGACAAGTGTTTTTTTTTTTTTTTTTTTTATATCGTACGCAAAGAGAAGATATTCCGCTGCATCAGGTTTTTGTTACATTAATTTCGTTACAATTTTATTAGCAGCAACTGACGATTTAACGCCGATCGACGAGTCCGTGAGTTTCCGATCGACAGTTTCGCGCTCCTTCTACTCCTCTTCCCATCGCATAGCGAAGCAATTTTTTACAATGGAATTCCCGGAGTTGTTGAAATATTTTGAGCGGGAGTGGAATTCGCGCGCGTGTACGCACAGTGCGTTTGTTCCGCGGCCGACATGTTGCCGCCGCGCGGCGGGTTTGTGTGTTCGACGGTAGGCGTGGCCTGCGCTTTGTCGGATCACTGTCTGATCGAAACCGGCCGTATCTACTGCCTGACTTCGACCACTCGCCTCCCCGTTTCCCACCCCCTTGCGTTTGACGCTCGGTTTCAACTCGCGCAATTCGGAACTAACAACGAACAATCCGGTGAACATTAAGCTCCGCGTCACCTTCTCTTGTTCTTATTTACTCTCTCCGTTTTGCGTCACTGAACGCGACGATTTAGTTAATCTCTTTATTTACATCTTTGCAAAAAATTAAATTTTTATTCCCGTCTGTAGCAAAACTGCAAGCGATATCGGCATGTTGCGAACTGAACGTGATTTTGACATTTTGAAAATTGGCTTTTACTTATTTATTCGTAGGAAAACAATTGGAAACACGAAAAACAAAAATATTTAATAAGCATGAAAGGAGAATTGTGTCGCGAGAGATGTAAGAACCTTATATGCTTTGTTATCGCTAGATGACGACTTGATGGACGAGAATCGGCCGCGGGACGGCCGTCGGGGTCCGAAGCGACCGCGGACGATTCTCACGTCGGCGCAGCGCCGTCAGTTCAAAGCGTCCTTTGAGGTGTCGCCGAAGCCGTGCAGAAAAGTGCGAGAGGCCCTCGCGAAAGACACCGGCCTGAGCGTGCGCGTGGTGCAGGTCTGGTTTCAGAATCAGCGTGCGAAGATGAAGAAGCTGCAGAGAAAAGCCAAGACCGAACCGGGTTCCGACAAGGAGCCGAAGGAGGAGCGACGGGCGGAAAGTCCGCACAGCGATCACAGTAAGAATCGTTTCGCATTATCGGAAATTTCGCATCGCGCGAGATCAATTTATTAATTTTTTACGCGCGACAACAATCGATTCTAAATCCCGTGTCGTGATCCTGATATCGATTTCTTATCGAAATTTCAAGCGTCGCCTGATTGTTTGTTTGTTTTTTTTTTTTTTTCTATCAATTTTTGCTCTTCGAGCGAGTATATAACTCTTTGGTTTCTGAAGTCTGTCTAGTTCACGTCTCGCTTCTCATTACGTAGTCGAGTTGTTGAGAGAGACAAGTCGAGAGCGACGCGATCTCGCGAAGACTGGTTAATGGGGCTTTGTTAAACGAGAGTGAGTTCAATGTCAATTGTCTAATCTCGTTTCGCAGGTCATTACTTGAACGCCCTGAACATGCGCGATGGGGAATCTTCTAGCTTCCCCTCAGCCACTCAACCGCTCAACCCCAATAACCCGTACTCGCCCGACGGTAAGTCTTTACTCACCGTACCAGACTCATTTGCGCACCAAATATCAGAACGATACGTGCGCAACGCCTCTCTATATCCCGACCAAAAAAAAAAAAAAAAAAAAAGTAAGAAAAAATAAGAAAAAAACACTTCGCTTTTCGGAATGAGTAATATATTTCGTGATCGCGGATTCTGTGAATTCCTAGTGACTTTTTTCACAAACGCTTTTCGATTTATTTCTTTTTTTAACAGAGTTAAAAAAACATAAACATATTATATTATTTTTAAGATAAAAGAGAACTTACCAGATTGATTATTTCCGCAAGTGAAATACGACGGGACGCGTCTCGCTTTATTTCAGACGCGTATCCGGGACACTCGGGGGAGAGTTTCTGCAGCACCGACCTGTCCCTGGACGGCACGGACGGCGGCTTCGACATCGGCGAGAATGACGGCGGTGGCGCGGACGGCAGCCATCAGGGCGCCTCGCATTCCCATCACGGCTCGTCATCGCACGACACCCCGTCACTGTCGCAGAGCCTGCACGCGGCCATGCACAATCCCATCGACAAACTGTTCATGATGCAGAATAGTTACTTCAGCGGTGATCACGCGTAATCCCGAGTTCTCCCACTTCTCTCTCCTATCCTCGACACAATTCGTCGCTTTTTTCGTTTTTCGTTTTCTCCCTGTAATCGCCCATCTTTCGCTCCCTCCGATCTCTTTCCCATTTATTCGATCTGTTATTTCCGAAGAAACGTTTCAGACGTTTTTTTTCGTCCTCTCGCGTTATTTTTTTATTTAACCCACTTTTCGGCCAAACTTTGTGAGGAGGGTACACAGTGTTTTTCTTCGTTTAGACGGTTTAAAAATAATATTCCCCGACCTCTGTTCGGAATTCGTCGGAATATCTTTCAACGTAAAAAAAGAAAGAGAGAAAAATTGAAATGTCAAAAGTTCTTGAAAAATATTTGCTATCCTTTGTTTTTCGCCTATATAAAATCTGTATTTATCCCTCTGTGTGTAATAAATATATATTCATAAGCATATTACGACAAACGTTATTACGAAGGTTTTTTTTTTCTCGTCCTTTGTTGTTTCTCTGATTTCATATTGTCAAAGAATAATATCGTCGACAATGTTTCGCATCGAAAAACGCAACATTTTATGCGAAACAGATAGAACAAGCTTTTGTCAAATAATTTTGACGGAGTTTTGCGTCGAGAGTTGTAATATTTTTCCGAGTCCGAAAATGGGTTTTGTTTTAGAAGAAAGAAAAAGAACACGTTTCTCTGTTTTCGCTCGTAAACTCGTACACGCACGTTCAAACTCTTCCGAGCGGAGAAAGATATTCGGGAAGGGATTTGAAAAAACTTTTTCCGTAGTTTTGTTTTTTTTTCTTTTTTTGTTTTTATGTATAAAACGATATCTATTTCAATGTTTGGTGAATGTGTTATTACATTTGTTTGTGAGATCGTTACTAATCTACAAACCTGCGTCGCAACTATTTAGCGCAATAGTCATCTATTGCTTCCGATCGTTTTCTAGAGTGACAGACTTTTCCAACAATTGTTTTTTTTTTTTTCACTTCGCGACAACAACGAGCATGATTGGAAGCGAGACGTTGCGTTAGTTACTGGCGCAACGCTCGCAACGTTAATGCCCAATAATTCATAACAATCGCTCTCTTAGTTTGTGTGTCTTTTCGCGCACCATATTTTTCAATAAAAATATATCAATCGCGCACATGTGTAACTTATATACTTTCATTTGAACCTGCCGAGCGTAACGAGATTTCGCCATGTTTTTCTCTGGCTCAAGACTAATTTAAAAGTCGCTCGGATAAAAAGTAATTAAACGCTATTTCATCGTCAACAATGTAACACGTTTTATATATATATATATAATAGTTTAACAATAATATTTCGTGACGCTTTTCGTGAGCAAAATGTGATACATATATTGCTTTGATCGGGCCGAGAGGCGTGTTGCTTTATACGCTACATGATAGTGATATACTTTCCTTCTCAGTCTGAGAGATTTTACGATGATTGACACTTAAGCGATACGCTTCGTTCTCGAGCTTATAAAAATGCGCGAAGAGAGAATATACGAAAATGAAAATTGAACAAACAAATAAAATTATTACAAACACACGCGCAAGACAGAACAGAATATTTATATAAAATTCACGTCATTACAAGTAAAAAAACAAATCTCAAATATACTTGCGCAATATCGCAGTGAGAAGAGCGAAAATATTTGTCTTTTTACATTCGGTGTGATGTGTGTTTTTTTTTTTTTTGAAAACGCGATCTCTCGTTAATATTCGTCGAGCGGAATCGGAAATAAAAACGCGAACGAAAGCGGACTATCTTAACGATTGCTCGACGGAACTCCGGCTTCGTTCGTTTTGCTTGTACTTGTTGCGCTCAGAACGAGATATTTACATAGACGGACACATTGTGTCGCGGGAATCGCGACACACCTGACGCGCTCTTTATGCGCTTTCAAGGAAGAGAGAAATTAAAGTGCAAACAAAACGAACTTGCCTATTTACATATTTTTTTTCGAGAGTCATTGAATTCTCCTACGTTGTACCGGAAAAGATCGCTTCAATACCGAGACACTTCCGATCAAGAAAGATGCTCACGTTTCCATTTCTTTTCCCCTCGCCGAGCGAATTGGCTTCTCACGTGTGTGTTCCGTGTTTCTTAAATTAAACAGATACAAAACAGCACGGCTTTTTTTTGTCTTCGGGCCATTTTTTCATCATTGAAACGAGCGTTCCAATATAGTAAATAATTATCGATAATAAGTAATCCGCTTTCACACACGCAATGTTTTTGTTCGCAGTCTCGACGTTAAAAAATTGGCGTTTACGTACAAATATAATAGAGCGAGATTTTTTAAATTTTATTTTATATATATACTTTCATCAATGATTCACGTGTGTCTTGTTGAAAAACGGTAATAAGACGTGGAGTCGTCCGTTGTTGCTCCACGGCGGCTTATAAAAATTCGAAAGTGTGCACAAAAAATATATATATATATATGTCTAAAAACCGTTTCTCCAAACTGACGCAAATACAAATATATACATTCATGGAACTTGGATCGTCAGAATGCATTCGTACAGAGTTTGTATCGTCGGTCATCTTCGTCGAAAGGAATACACATCAAGAGAGAGAGAGAGAGAGAGAGACATAGATAGAGAAAAAAATGGTCGCAATAATCTTAGATGCACAGAGCGACAATGGATTTTTTTATCTCTCTCTAGGGGATAGTTTAATTATTATTTAATTATTATTGCTCTCTGTAGCAATAATAATTAAACAGTTGCCACTTTTTGTTGTGCAATTATTCGGTTCCAAATGTTTTTTCTCTCTCTCTCTCTTTCTCTCTCTCGGTATACGCTGATCGTGTTCCTAAGTACCGAGATAAGAAAAGCTTAAGCGAAAATAGTCTGTCTCAAACAATTGTCTATGTGGAAAAAATATATTTTCCGTCTGTTCCGAATGAAGTGTCATATACATATATACGCACTCTAAACGTGCGTATATAAATATACGCGATACATCTTCACGTGTGCGCCGAGTGGATCGCCGTTTCATCTACGCACAGCGGAGACGTACGTTGCGTTTGTTTGTTGCATACGGCGGACAATAATAATGCGTCCGCGAGGAAAAGCGCGCTTTTCTAAAGCGAGCGATTATAAAAAAAAAAAAAAAAAAAAAACCGAGACAACTCGTGGCGACGACGCTCACGTCGACATCGGTGCCTAAGGAAAGCTTTATGTTTTTTTTTTTTTTTTTTTTTTTTTTTTTTTTTTTTTTTTTTTCAAATCACAGATTTGAACCGTCCAATTCGCGCGATCGGACGATTGTTCCCGCGAGAGACTTCGAGTGCGTTAGCTACGAGGACAGCGTGTGTGTCGTTTTACTTTATTTTACCCTACGTAAAAGTCTAAGTAAACTTATGGCGGTGACGAGCTCGGAAAGCATTTTTTTTCCTCTTCCCACGCACGGAGACCAAACTAGTCCCGCACTCCCCTTAGTACAAGTTGCAAGCTGCTCTCTCTGTCTCCCTTTCTCTTTCTTCCTCTCCTCTCTCTTTCTTTCTCTCTCTCTCTTTCTTTCTAATGTGGGAATAATATCCGCGCGTTTCATTCTTCAGGACTTCCTCGCGTGTTTTCACTTGAAGGAGTTGACGATGTCCACAATGCTGACGTAGGTCCCCACCACGAGACCGACCAGTCCGAACACAATCAGAAAAATGTTTTTGAGTAGCTTGTACTTGAACGGGCCGAAGTCCTTGTTCGGCCACAGCACGCATATGTCGATGAATCCGGGAAACGAGATACCGAGGGCGGACAGGCAGAAAGCGCCGAAGAGCGAGATGAACAGGCCGAGTCTCGGTATGGAGACCGCCAAAATGACTAAAAACAAAAACGAAGAAATTTATTACGAGAGAGATATATATTTGTCTTGTTTCGAACTCGAAGAAGATTCGCACTCACTTGTGCTGATAACGAGAGAGGTGCGAAGACCGTACTCGGCGAGATACTTCATGGTCTGTTTCTGGGTCTCTTTGACCTGCCACTGTTCCGCTTTTTCCTTCAAATATCCGTCCCACAGAATCTCAATGGGTACGTACGCCTGCAGGGCGTACGTGAAGAATATGGCGATCGCGAACAGAATCTTCACGCTTTGCGCCATGCTGCAACGGAGAATTATTTTTTATTAATTGTCGAATTGCGAGCGCGCGCGCAATTAATTTCTCTTACATCTCGTCGGACGGCAGATTGAAAGTTACGCTTCCCTTGGCGTCCGATCCGTACTTTATGTAGCCGAAAAATCCTATGAGTATGTACAAGAAGACGATCACAGTCATTCCTATGTTCAAGACGCCGCAATAGCCCAGGAAGTCCTTCGGGGTCTTCATCTTGTTCTCCAGAGCGATGATCTGCGTCGACAACAACAACATGTGATTGTCGACGATCGAGTGAAAAATTAATTTCCATTTCGTAATTTCTGTCAAAAAAATTAATCGAGCGAGAGAAGAAATCGTTTTTCTGAAAACTCACCAAACCGATGGCCTCCAACGCGAACAACGTTGTTCCGAAATAGAGGGCGAAATTTCTCAACGTGCCGAACATCTCTCTGTCGCTGATCGGGGGTAGGTCTTGCACCATGTACGTCAGGGTCAAGATGAGCCCGACGAACGTGAGAACGTTCGCTAACGCGGAAAATGGCGTCAACTTTTTCAAATTCGGTATGTAGTTTATCACAACAAACGCGATCGATAACGATAACGTGTATTTCCAAAGCTCCCACTCGCCGCAGTACAAGTCTATCACCTACATTACAACACAGTTAAAACGAATGTATTTATTGTAATTTTTTATTGAATTTTAAGCGCTCACCTGCTTCAAGTTCGTTGTGATAAATACTATGTAAACGCAGCAGATTCCCAATTGATAGAGCACTAAGAAGCCATCAATCAGAACTCTGAAAGCAGTATAGTAGTTTTTGTTCTCTTTAATCGCGGAGACATTTCTCACGTCTGTGCGCGCGCGCATCTTTTTAACACAAACAATCTCTTAACACAAAATGTTTCGCCGTGGGTAGCGGGAAAAATTTGGGTCTCTTGAATTATTTTTTTTTTTTTTTATCAACAAAGAATGTTGTTTTTCAAAACAATTTCTAAAATTTACTGAATTTTTTGTCTTTTTGAATTTTAAGTTTTGGAAAATTTGCTGAATTTCAAGTCCTGTTGCTTCCCAGTAAAACTTTTTTTCGCGTGATATATTTCTTAAATCGCAAATCGCTGATATATCGAAAAGTTCCGCGCTAATTTTCAGTCAACGGAGATAAAAGCGATACTTACGGCGCGTACTTGGAAAGTTTCTCCGTGCACTTGGGACCTTGGATGAGGGCTTGTTGCATGGTTTCCGGATAGGTCAACGTGCCGCGTTTCAACTGTTTACACAATTTGTACTGCGCCTTTATGAACACATGTAAACAATAGGTGCAGAGCGCACCTATGATAATCGTGGCTACAACGCCAACCAGAAGACCGCTGTTGCCGAACGCGTTCGGCATCGCCAAGATGCCCGTACCTAAACTTCCCTTCAGAAGATGAATCAAGGTTGCGACATTTCTGAAAGATCAAACACACACGTTCGAGAAACGGAATTTATTTCTCGAGTTTTACACGAGATTTACTCACGAGGTTTTGTTCTTGATGTCCCGATGATCGTGAGGATCGTAATCGTCCTCGTCTGTATTTACCGTGTTATAGGAACGTAACGTTTCGCTGTTATTTATAGCGTTTTCGGCGTTGCTTTCGATCTTAACGTGTTCTACGTTCTCGTCGTTCGTCGCTTGGTTTTCGGTCGTCCTGCGCGTAAAATTTGTAAAAATGACATTAACGCGAGATATTTTTTAACACATTTCGTATATTTAATATATTGTATTCAAATAAAAAAAAAAACTATCGTACTTGTGAGGACTTGGCGAGTCAAGCAGCTGCAACTTTATAGTCTCTTCCTTCGAGTTCTCCATTGTCACGCGAATGTCTTCCCCGCGGTTTCGTTTCCCTGAAACATTTTTTTTTGTTTCCTGAAACACATCTCTTCTCTCTACACTCGATTAAAAAAATATTATTATCTAAAAAAAAAAAAAAAACCACCGATTTCGCACGAAAATCAAATTCAAAAGAGCGATCGGCGCGTAATTGTGTTTGTACAATTGTCGTGTAACTTGTCGTGGATTAAAACGCGTCGCACGCCGAGGAATCGACCCACATCGGGGTCGATCCCGGTTACCATTAAAACCTTTAATCAATTGGCGGATGTGGAGCAAAGCAAAAAAATCGTCAATTTATCATTGCTAATCTGTCGCACGACATATATTTGCCGCGCCGCCGTGCTTTAGCACATTCTTTCACGAACTGATTGCTCTTAATTATTGCATTGAGGTCAAATGCAACTTGAGGTTAACTTGCTGAAGGTTGCGCTCGGTGTATCCTCGCACTTCGCGTATATATTTTATAATACGCCCGTTAACGTCGCGTTTCGCGTCGCGCCGCTGAACCGAACCGATTGATCTTAAATAATGACGCGACGGGGGCAAAGTCTAGCCTCGTGCGAAAATGTGCGGTTTAAGCACTTTTACGGCGCGGCACCGCTAATAAAAAAAAAAAAAACAAACAAACAAACAAACACCTTGCGGCTCTGTTTTGAAACAAACGCGGTAAATAAAAAATATTTTTTTTATTGCACAAGCGTTGTCGTGAAAATTAGCGCAATACAATTTGGTATGTACTTACGTCTCGCAATCGGTCGGAAATAGCGGAAAATGTATGTATTGCGCTAGATGTGAACTGTTTTTCACGTTCACGGTCCTTATCGCGCGAATCGCTCGATCGCACACGGTGACAGTCCGTTTTCTTACTGAGAAACGCGCGCTTTTCCGGAAGGTCACGGCTGCGACGAAGACCGAGTATCTGCGAAATGAGGGAAAGAAAGTTCACATTCTTTCGTGTTTACCAACACACGTTACAAATCTGATATTTGATGCTTGAATTCGAACGTTACAAATCGTTGTTAAATTTCACTAAATGGATATTAACACAACGTTTTCTCGTGCATTATCCAGTTTAGAGTTTGTACAAAGAGACGGGAGCAATCTCTCGCTCGTCCGAGCTTAGGTAATCGCGCTGTTGAATTTTGTAACGCGCGCGGAGCGGAGTCTTGCAAATTATGTCTTGATAAATTTACACTCGCGAGGCCCGAGAAACGTACGTCGCCGAAACTGACATGACACTCACCTATCACGATCTTAATTAACTCTCAGCAGTCGCGGGTTGTAATTTCCTCCGGTTCGCAGATTTTGCGTGTGTCTCTGGAGAGAGAAAAAGGAAATTTACTTCAGACGGCGCACACAATCCGAGTTGATTTCAGAGAGCGATTTCGCGTTTTTCAAAAAAAAACAAACAAACAAATAAACAATTTGTTATGTATACTGTATCGACGCGACCGTGTGTCATCACACAGTCCGCGGAGAGGGGGAAGTAAAAAGAACCGCATGATCCGATTTATATCAGCGCAGGAGGAATGTTCGCCCGGAGCGCGCGTCGCGCATATACGTGGGTTAGGGTTTAAGTATTATAATCAATCCTCTTCTAATTCTTACTTCCTCGACGCTCGCGCTGGGGAGAGCTGGGACGAGCCGTGCGGTCTGTCCCGCGCGTGTTTGAAACAATAAAAAAACAAAATAAAATAAACGACCGGCGGTCATATCTCGCCCGTTAATTTTAAAGACCGCCGGAAGAGTCCTCTTCGCCGGCGGGATCCGATACGTTGGCAGGTGTCAACGCCGGTACGAAGGTCGTGAGAAAGAGAGACGCGAATGCAAGTGAACCGCGCGACCGATTGTAATTGAAGGGGGAAATACATTTGAACGCGTACTTCGAACAGGTCGCGTATTTGACTTATTTCGTCCTCTTTTCTCTCTCTCTGTCTCTCTCTCCGGATAAAAAAGTCTTTGCAAAAAATATATTTTTGCGATAAGAACGCGCGGAACGATATTGTAAAATCGGAAGCCGATCGCGATTAATCGGTCATGCGAATCGAGTCAGGGGCAGAGCAACGAACGTGCGTTGCACAATTGTAATTTATGCGTGACAAACCGCGTGGCAAGCGATCAATGCAATATTGCGTTCTTCTCTCTTTAAATAGCCCTCAATAAAAAGATAAGTCACGTGACAAACGTTTCGAAGAAGATCGAGAGGAACAAAATCTCGGGAAAAGAACTTGGACCGAAAGCTCGGCTCTTCCGATAAGGTCGAGAAACGTGTCGCGGCAAGCGAACAATTTTCGCGTCGTGTAGCTCATTTACGTTTTGGTTCTTCAAATTAAAAATTAATCTAAATGGCGCACGCAACGACGCGGCCCGATGCGTATCGCGTAACTGTAACCGCGCGACAGCTCGCAGTCAGTATTCTTCCATCCGTTTAATCGCTCAATCTGTTGAACTTCGCGCGCTGACACGCGCTGCTCAGATTCGTCCGATGCAAATCGAATCAAGAAAAGTCAAATGAATACGTACTCTAATAAGATGATTAGATTAATTATTGAGTCGAAAAAAACGCGCAAGTGGACCGGTTGTAACAAACGCAATTTCGCACTGCTCCTACTTGGGATTTGTTGCAACAAATACGGGGGATGCGCAATTTCGTAGTTTGCACAGCTTTCTTCGCGAGAAGATGCGCGCGCGATCGATTTTGAACAAAAAATGTTCAAAGAAATGTTTCTGCGAAATCCGTCAGTGCCCGATCGCGGCCTCAATGCAACGCGAAGTATATCAATTGAATCGTATGAAACGGTTCAACTATTGCGCAACAGTTCCTTCATCGATCTTAATAATAGTCGTCTCATCGCCCGTAACGGAAAGTAGGCTTTATTTCATTAGGAAAGCGAACTGGAATAAATTCCGCCTTTGCGCGCGGAAGGTGTCGAAGAGTCGAAGAACGAAAAAAGATCGCGTTTTCCCGCTCTCGCGAAATTTAACGAATCATCGTTACGCTTGGGTAATTAAAATTGAGCTAACAAATTGCGACAATCGTTCCCGCGAGTGATATCGGATGCCACCGAAATAAGGAGTATGTCATTATACTGTTAGTACATTAGACGATTACGGGGGGATTAATGTTGCAACAGCGGCCAATCACCGAGCGGTATTGTCAATTATAATAGGGACCGAGTACTGTGATCACACAAACGGGTGAGCGAGTGATTACGGTCGCAAATGGACCACATCGATATGCTCGTTAGAAACACCTTGGGAGAATGAGAAGAACGAGAAGGTGTGTGAGAAGTTCACGTTTCTCAACGAAGAAAAGTCAAACAGAGATGAAAAAAAAAAAAATGAAAGTGTTATAAAGCTCTCGGAAGATAAAATTTGGAACCAAAAAAAAACAGAAAATGAAAAGAACGAGAGAGAAAGAGAGAGAGAGAGAGAGAGAGACAGGGATATGCAGTAAAGCTCGCATCTTGATGATGATCTTGATGATGATGATGACGAAGAGATTTGTTGTTGTGTGAAGAAAACGATGTCGAATCGATATATGATCGGAGTTTCCGTTTCTCTTCCTCGTGATGACTCGGACTTACCGGATGAAGTGGCGTCGGTTACAAAAAAAAACGCGACTTCCGCAACCCCTCGGCGGATGTAACCCGATTCTTGGAGGAGGAGGAGGCGCGACTACCCAGTTGGCGATTAATGCGTCAGCGAGCGAGGATGTCTAGCGACTACTGTGCCCCGCACCACTTCAATTTCTACTGTGTGGTGTGTGGACGCATTCAGCATTAGCTCGTCACGTGATGCGGCCAGTTAAAACGGATTCTCTCTCGTAAATGCACGCGAGCGGAGATTTAAGAGACCGCTCGGAGAGAACGCCGAGCCCGCTTGTCGCGCGCGCGCGCGCGCACACACACACACACACACACACACTTTTCATCTGCCGCAGAATCCGTATGGAAAGATTGCAAAAAAAAAAAAAAACGTGGGCGAGGGTAATTCGACGTGGATCGATTGTGAATATCGAATTGCGATGTAAACGTATTTTTGACATTTGGATGTAAAAGCTTTTTTTTTTATTTCTCGAGGTTTTCCGATTGTTAAAAAATGTTTATTCACATTTATTGATACTGTTGTGTGTTTGTTGTCTCTCATCTCTTTCTCGAGAAATCGAGTTCTCTTTAAGCAACTCTAAAGTTCGCGCACGCATAAATCACCGACTGACGGGTTTATAACTCGATGGAAATTTATTTTCCATGAACGTCAACAAATCGTCTTGTTGTAATTTAAACGGAGAGACTTTTCCCATCGTGCCAAATGTGTCTCCCAATGGAAAAACAAAGTTGTTGACCTTCGGGAATATTTGCGTACGTCTGGTCGATATTCGGAACAATTGTGACGAATCTTCATACGCGTTTTCGTAGGCAGAGCGAAAATTCGGACGGCTAAAATTAAAGTCGGAGGCGAGTCAGCGTTGACACATAGGAATGAAGATAATGTAATAATATTCACGCTAATATTGCGCGTTTTGAGCGAAGAGAAAAAACATAATGGTGCGCAACAACTACACTAAGGTGTGTTTTTGCAAAGATCGATGGTACATTTGCGTAAAAGATAATTATTTTTATATTTTATTGAAATGTTATTTTATTGAAATATTATTCAAAAGCATGTGCAGATGTTAACTTGCACAACTTTTGAACTTTTGTTAACGCACGACATTTCTCAGTGAAGTTTCTGCGAAACGCAAATATTACCGGAACACCGAGAGAAGGTGTTTTTGATCAGTTTTATAAAAATAATTTATTAATAGCTCTGTGTGTTCCCGGTAGTTTTAATAATAGGTATCGTATTGATCTCTCAAAGAGGAAATTTTTAGCTTGCTCCTCACGAACACAGATTAAATAAGAAGTCAAGCGGAGAAGTTCTCTTTTTATTTTGCAGATCAAGTTATTTAAAAATTTTTTAATTTTTAATCAATAAATGCGTTGTGCGGTCGCGAGTTGACTCGCGTGTGTTGTAAAGGTGTCGTAGATTGAAAAGTGCACGCGTCATCAAAATACACGTGATTTTAGAAAAAATCACGGAGCGCATGTTCCGTGGTGAACTTGAGCAATTCAAAACTTCGTTCTATGTAGCGTAGGAAAAAGCGCCGTCGCCAGGTTACGTAATCCTGTCGCATTTCTCTATGGTACATCTACTACTTTGATCGAAGCTACATGGATCATTTAAAATTCAAGGTCCGCAAATTGAATCGTCTCGAGCGAATTGAAAAATAAGTAATTAAAAATCTGTGATATCAAAGCACCTCAAACTAAAAATAACGTAAAATATGCAACAGCGTTGTGTGTCAAAGTGAGAAAACAGCGTTACGTTTTTCTTCGTCATCGTAAAAAAAAAAACACAGTAGAACAAATGAAGGTACTTTTTTACATCAAACACTTTCAGTTTCTCGCGAGGTAATTATTTCGTTTTTTTTTTTTTTTTTTTGTTTCTAAAGACGCGCGCGAAGAGAATTTCATCACGTGCATTCGCGAACGTAAAAAAAAAAAAGAAAAAAATACAACAACGTGAGATTATTTCGATTGCAAGTAACAATGTCGGTGTTATTAAAAACGCGGAGCGTCTGAGACTTAAACCACGTGCTAAACGTGTCACACGGATGACGATGCGGTGCAGTTCGGTTCTCTCGGCCAACCCTGTGCAACTTACTCGTGCGACGAACTTACTCGTCCGTACGTACCTCGCACGGGAGGGGTGACACCTCATCACACAGGTTATGAAGTACTCTACGTGCGCGCGTACGAAGTTATACGACTGAAGGATGAAAGAAGAAGCGAGCGAGGCGAACGCGCGTGCATATGTGGGTGTAACAACCCCGTAACTGACGCATGTGAGAGATGTGGCGCGCGTCCGTGTGTGGATGTCTGCACCGGGAAAGTGTGCCTCGTGCAGCTGCGGGCACCTTTCACTGTCTGCGAAAATTAGGGACGGATTCCCTTTACGTCACGCGAAGGGAGAGAAGGGGATAACTACCCTCCTCGCGATCCATACGGTAATAATCCCCAGCGACGTCTGGCGGTGGTGCAGGTAAAACCTGCTGGCGGACCTGCGCGTGTGTTCGGCTCGGTTTTGACTGCGACCGAGCTGCAAAGTGGATTAAATCGACAGTGGCAGCTGTGTTTTAATAAAATACCTAGCGTAACAGGTAGACCTATTGAATTTTTCTCAAGGGGAAAGGAAATGCTGTGTTTGGAAAAAAAAAATACATCGAATCTGGAAATGTGCACAACAAGTTGGTCTGAAGAACTCTGAAAAGAAGGGGATGTACGTCCGCGAAAGAAAACTTTATTTACTTTTTCTTTTCGCTCTTTGAAATTAACCCTCACTCCGTAAACGATGACAATGTGCAATAATTTTTTAAAATACATTATTATTTTAAATATATATTATAAAAACCAAAAAATATACTGTTATGATAAAAAAAATCATAACTTTCAAACAAATTATGATGGAGCAAAAAATCAACCGGGAAGTTAAAGTTTAGGGACCAAACTTTGATGAAAAAAATATAACGCATTTATTTATAACAAATATGTGCAACATTAGATTAGATTCGAAAGCACGAACAAACAAAAAATCGGTTCACAAATTGATAAAAGGACGTTTCGTTGTCCTTCGCATATATTTATTATTCTTCGCTTGGTCACTCTCGCGATTTGTTACGTCGAACTCGTTTCTAATCGCTCACAAAAACAAAATGACACACGTCGCCGTTTATTTCGTTAGATGAATGCAATAACGTTGCGGTATCGATTTATTAAGTTTGCATCGCGCGTCTGAAAACTGTGTACATGTAAAACAAACAAGAAAGATAACGCGGAAATCTGGTCATATCGATGCTCGTTGTTAGGCAGCGACCTGCTTATATCATTGAAATATCGATTCGTTCTTACACGACTCATCGCTTAAGTAAATGTGTGTGTCGTGCGCACGCGAACGCTCTATTTCTCTTGGCTTTCTCCTTATCGCGGTAAAATATTAAAACCAAACGGTACGGTCAAGAATGCACGGTGAAACAATTTTTTACTGATGACTTCAAACGCAATTCGGTGATCGCCCGAAATTACTGATTGTTTTTTTTTTTTTTTTTTTTTTTTTTAAGGAGAATCAAAGGAATGTGGCAGTATGAAAAATAAAACAATTTGAAAAATAAAACAATTTTTATTTTTAATAAAATTAAAATTACTTTTTACATACACAACATACGTTTGTTCTTTTGTTTTTGTTTTTTTTTGTTTTTTTTTTTTTACGTGACTGACGCGCCAGGCGTCACCACGTCGTTGCACGGTCCATGTATCGACATCTTCACTTGTGCGCATTAATAAAAATAAACAAAAAAAGAAATAACTTTGCCGCGCACTTGGGAGCTTCATCCCGCGTCGCCGACGTATCGAAGACCGAAGTGCGCGATCGACGAGCCGTACGAAGTTTAAAACGTTTTATTTCGGTCCCCCTCCGGACCACTCCGAAGCCTCTAAATGCGCTCTTTTATTTTTAGGTACACTTACTTTTAGCAATGATCAACTTTAACTACTTGTATCACATTGTCGTCGTTTCTCGCGTCGAAGAAACGACTGCGGATTCTCCCGCTCTTTTCACTTTCCTTCTCTCCTTTCGTCTCTCTTTCTTTCTCCCTCTCACTCTCTCTCTCTCTCTCTCTCTCGCTCGGCGATCTCGAATCTGGTCTTTAACGTCGTTGCGCGATTCTCACGAGAACTTCTTGATGATCTCGCTCAGACTCGTGTAGGTGCCCACGATCAGGCCCAGCGCGCCGATCAGTATCAGACACGTGTTCTTCGCCAGCATGAGCATCTTCTCGGTGTGTCCCATCACTCGCCAGAACGTGCACAGTTGTATGATCGCCGGGAAGGCCAGCCCCAAAGCCGATAGACACAACGCGCCGAACAGCGATATGAAGAGATCCAGTTCCGGAATTGAGATTGCCAGCGCAACTGAAAACAGAATCGCAATTGAGATCGTTTAAATTCTTTTTATGTGACAAATAAGCGAAACTGGACACGGGATCACGTTACGATATAGAACGCGATTAAAAGAGATCGAAAAAAAAATTCAAAGATGTTGGTAGGACTCGATCTTCAGATTCGCACCGACGCTTTTGATCAGATTTTGCAGATTCGAAAGTTTTCGGTTTAATTACGCGAGAACTGCGAATGAGATAAAAAATGAGATATATGAAGAAATCAACTTACAAGTGATCAAAATGATGATAGTTCTGACGACGTATTCCCAGGCCAGCTTGAAGCTGTACTTCTCGAGATGCGGACCGATGTACTCGTTCCACATTATATCGATGGCGACGTAACATTGAATGGGATGCGTGAAGAAGATGGCGATCGCCAATAGTATTTGCACCGCTATGCCGAGATCCTCATCGGGCAGGTTGAGGGTGATGCTGCCTTCGATTTTGCTGCCGTAACGTATGTAGCCGAAGAAACCTATGGCGGCATAAAGCGTGACGATGATGCTCATCGAGAAATTGAGCACGCCGCAGGGTTTCACGAAGGATCTGGGCGTCTTCATCTCGTTTTCCAGCGGCATAATCTTTCAACAAAACAAAGCAGACACACGCGCAAATATTAAATATATCTCTTCTTTTTATATTCTCATTTTTATTTCGAATCTGTAAACCCCGTCTTTCTGTATGTGAAAAAATTCCAATTTCGATCGCTTACCACGCCGATGGATTCGAGAGCGAACAAAACGGTGCCGAAGAAAAGCGGAAAAGTTTGTATCTCCCCGACGGTAACGCGGTCCTTGAACGACAACGGGTCCTTGAAGATGTAGTAGAGTATAATGGCAAAGCCGGTGAACATGATAGCGTTTGCGAGGGTCGAGAACGGTGCCAGGAATTTCAGATTCCTGATGTAATTAACGAGGATCAGGGGTACCAGAATGATCGCCATGTACTTTTCCAGCTCCATATCAACGAACTTGCTGAGTCCCTGGAAGAAGCAAGGAGAAATACGGGATTATTATTCGCGAGCGGATCTCTTCCGCGGAATCTCTTCCTTTCGATTCTCGTAAGGACACGTGTGGCAGATACCGTTCGATACGATTCGAATCGTTAAACACGCACGTAACGCGTCGGAAGGAAAAATCGTACGATCGAAGGCACTTCTATATCTCGCATCCACACGTGACATTGAATTCGTAATCAAATCGCGCGTGCTAGATTTCTCGAGTCATCTATACCTACCGTGTTCTTTTGTTTGTTTTTTTTTCTTTCTCGCCAATGATCGATCCCGATCTCGTCACGTTCGCGTCCTCGAACGAGAAAACTCTTTTCGTCGTCGATTTTTTTTTTGCGAAAGGTCGTCTTCTTTTGCACGTGCGCGTATTCGCACCGCGCGTACTACTAGTTCAGTGCATCTGAAAACATAACGACGCACGGACGACATTACATTTTTCGCTCATCTTCCTCATTCATTCGGAATTTCGTTCGTTTGGAAAATTCGCTTCTCTCGGAACGGATTTGTACAGAGAAGTTTTTTTGTTTTTTTTTTTTTTTTTTGTCCAAAATGACGAATTTCGCATAATTTTTCACAATTGATTCCAAATAAACGTGAACATGAGTAAAAACGGAAGAAATAGTCCAGAACGCGTCGTTGCTTCTCAGATTGATAATTTGCGTAATCGACAACGCAAAAAAAGAAAAAAAACGTAACGTAAATTCCGCATCTGATCGAAACACGCGCGAAATTCGCACACGACGATTAACGTAGCGTGTAGTGATGCGATTCCAATTGCCATTCTTACGATGCGATCCCAAGGGCAGCAGGAAATAGGTGCGTTATTGTCGTTTAACGTCCTATCATTAACAGCCGTCGAATATCTTACGTAAAACAAACGTTTACATGAGTTGCTGCTGACGTGCGAGATCAATTAAACGCACCCTTGAATTATCGGTTTGTACACACGAGCGTGATTACATCGTGTCGTTAGATTTGTTCATTAAATTAATAAACAAATGAAAGATTAAATTAAATTTTCTAACATTCGCGTTGCTTGACGAAACGAGATTTCTTGACACGTTACGTTTACTTTTTTTGTTATTTACGCCCGCTCGTAATTTCTTTCGCGCATCACTCACGCGTAACTTCATTCGTTTCTTTCGACATCTCTTCTGTTACGTAATATTTTGTGTACGTTGTAAATCGCGAAGAACATTTACTACACGCGCAATATTTTCATGTGGTAGTTCATGTAGTGACTTTTATTTAAAACTACAAAAAAAACAATATTTTTTCCTGTCTCTAGATTTTCAGAGTTTCTCCATTTCAATTTGTTTCGAACAAATGAAAACTTAACGCGTCACTAACTTCGTAAGTGATGCGCGCTGAGGTATCAAATTTGTGGACGTTCACGTCGCATCCGACCCTGAAGTCGAGGCGCGTTCGTTCCTACGAGCGCATAGGCGATACGCGGTTCGGGTTTACGTGAACATACGCGTTGCACATCTACACACACTACTTACTTGCCATAATAACACATGTCGTAACGATAGTTAACTATCTATTACATTGCGTACTACGCAACGCCTTCTAAGTCACGATTAAAGCGTCATCCACACAAAGCGCGATTTTACACATCGATCGCAGTTAATTAAAAACATACGTCGAGTTTGTTTTCTTTTTTCAAGTTCGGTAATATTTTGTAAGCTGAGTTTTTTACGACCAACATTGATTACAAATGTAAAATTAAATTCACTATGTATTAAAAACACGTGTGTACTTTTTTTACACGCAGTTTTGCAAACGATATTATTTGAATCGTAAATTGCGCGTTGTGTTAAAAAAAAAAAAAAAGTTAACGATCAGCCGCGAGAAGCAAAAACTAATTGCGATCGGCTCTTATATATGAATAGCACTTAAATTAACGCTTGCATGCGACTCTTACTTCCACTTGATCCTATCGCGATAAGATATTCTGTTCTGCTCTACGTGCGATTTCCCGACCACGGGGCGAGACAGCGAAATTCCATAATAAATCATTACGCACGTGTGCGCCGCTTCGATCTCTGACGTAAGAAGTATCGAAGTGGAATTTTCGATTATAGAAGAAATTCGAACGCGGATTAAATCGCGCGGGAAATGTACTCGGGACTCGCGTGAGAACGCGGTGTATTTCTCGCTGATCTCTCAATCTCGTTGCCGTGACATCGTCGTTGAAAATGTCGATGACCGGATCGCCTGTGTTAGGTACAAATTACCTTGACTCAACCGCACGCGCATTAATTACACAGCGACTGTCTACTCGCGTATTCGCGCAGCATATTTCCCTGACCCAGATTATTCCCTTTTCTACCTACCTACGCGATCCTTAGGTAGATATGCGCGATATATATCGAGTTGATTGGCGGTGGCGAGAGAAAAATTCGAGCTAATAAAACGATCGATGATTTTATCGATTGTAAGGGGAAAAACTCTCGACAATGTACGGTTGTAACAGCAAAATTACGTGCTGAAATATCCGAAGTACGCGATATATTTTATTTTAAATACAATAATATTATCCGCAAGAGTAAAATATAAATTTTCGTCATTTATACACATTAGATATTTTTTTTTTTTATTTTCGATATTTCGAATTATTTCCGCGATTTTATTTCCGATATTTCGAATTATTGTTTTTAAAAACAATTGAAACACGTTCTCAGTAAGAAATCGTGTTTCCATTTGATTGTTCGATTTCTCGTTGACATTGCGCGTGCAAATTATAGATGAGTAACGCTCGCAATTACATTTCAATAATGGAAGCGCATGTTAACATTGAAAACTTGTGACGTGTCACGTCACGCGGGAACGCGCATTTGCGAACAAAGTAAAAAATAATTGTCACCCAGGCGGAAACACTCACCAATTGCAGATTCCTAGAAATGAAGACGATGTAGACGCAGCAAGAGCCCATCTGATATATTAGCAGGAAGATGTTTATCACGTGTCTGTGAAGAGAAACGGTTAATTTGTTGTAAAACAAGTGCGACTCTAAATAAGCAATAGTGTAGAAACTGTAAGTAGAAATAAAGTTCATCAGCTCACATGGAAGTTTTTGAAAATGATCTCAAGAACGCTGGTCCTTCGAGCAGCGCCGCTTCCGCGGTCGCCGGATACGTCATGGACGGCACCCTCTTTCTCTTGCACAACTCGTACTCGGACTGAACGAGGATACGCATACAATATGTACACAGAAGACCTATGATGATCGTGGCTATCAGGCCGATCGCGTATCCGGCGTGATAGAACGCCTTCGGCATAGCGAGGATTCCGGTGCCCAAACTGCCCTTCAGTAGATGCAGCATCGTTTCCGCGTCCCTGAAAAATCCACCGGAAACCGAATGTTTATTACTTTTTTTCTGTCTCGAGCGTTGGACATTGACAATCGGTAAATGTCCAAAGTCGAAAGTACGCAAGGTTATTTTTAATTAGACACAGAGGACAGTATATTTGTAAATTATAAAGAGACAACGTATTTTACAAATTTGTTATTTTTATCAGATTTTTTATTTTCATTATTATCAGAATTACTAAATAAATAAATAATTAACTTAATTAATAATCTAGATACAGTCAATAATTGTAGAAGAATTGGTGAAAATTGTTTAATTATATAATAATTTATACATCAATTGCAATAATCTCGCGCGCGCGCGCGTGTGTGTCATTGCGAACATTTTCACGAGAAAGATACTTGAGGAAGTCTTTTGACTTGATTATTGAGTTAAAAGGCTACTTAGCATAAAACGCGCGGTGAACGATCAAATGTCGTTTTACATGCGAAGAAAGCATCGCGACGCGTTACGTAAGCGCGCATAATTGTTACTTCACAACCGGCAGAGAAGTTCTTCTTTGTCTGTCGCTTCTTCGCTTCGATTAAGCTCTTCTTCGAAGCAAATCAAACGCTCGTCAATGAACGCCGATTGAACAATTGCGTTCTAACAACGTGCCAAAATCAAGTCTCGTTGTTTACTAATTAAAGACTTTATGATTTCTGCGTAACTAGTAATCGTCAAAGTCTTATCAACAAGGTAATAAAATAGGAAAAACATCATCGTCGTCGCTCGCTGTCTCTTATATTTTTGTTTCACTTTCAAAAGTCGTTTCAAAATAACTTTTATCGTACAAATTATCTAACACGCAATTAAAGGTGTTATTTGCTTGAACCACTTACGTGGTTGGATGCTCCACTTTCCTGTACTTGTACGGATCGTATTCCTGTTCGGACGCGCTTTTCTTCTTTTCCTCGAGCTCCAAAACGTAAACGTTGTTGTGTTGTTTTTCGCTCGATTGGTAACTGCAAAATACACACCTTCTGTCAGCGGCGAGATTCAAGCTTTTTTTTTATTTTTTTGTTTTATTCGACATCTAAATGTAAATCGTTCTCTCACCCATTGTTGTATTCCTTGGATGAGGAAGACTTTTTCGCGTCCTGCAGAACGTCCTGCAACAAAACGCAGAAGAAACTTGAAGTAATTCAAGAAAACAACAAGAGAGATCGTCAACGGGAAATTTTGACGTGAGATTAACAACAACAAACGCACGAATGCGCATTGTAAAAACAAAAAAATTGCTCAGGAGTAAATTATTCCGCGCTGATATTTTCCACGCTGTTGCGCGAAAATACACGAGCGATTGCGTAGATGTGTAGCAACGGATAAGTTTCGTTGCCCGCGGCTTTTTCCGTCTGTGACAATTGGATCGGCGCGGTCGATTGTCCAACATATTAGCACATTCGTGTAATCGCTATACATACACTTGTATATCTTCTTCTATCTCTCTCTCTCTCTCTCTCTTTTTCTCTCCGTTGAAATAAATAGAATCTTGTTCAGCGATCGGAGATACGAGTCGCATGAATGTTTAATCTTTCGCGCAATTTAAGTGCAATCAGGTAAATAAGAAGATCCGCAGATTCGAGACTGTCGACTTGACGATTGCGTGCCGGTCTCACATGCATAAATAACGTAGGAAATCAAACGCGAAAATCTCGGTTTCCGCGCGTGTAAATTCCTCGAAAAGATTCCTTTTTCGCGTGCGATTGAGTTTGCAACACGAGAATACGTACGGGAAATTTTCAAGCGTCACATTTGTGCAAAAGCACAAATTGCATAATGCGCGGATACGACCGTTTAATTTGTCCTTCAAAGCAAAAGATTACGCCCACACCGGAATAATGAGATGCGTGTCGTTAACTACACGCGTGATATTTATATATACGGTAATATATAATGATCACGTACATATAGCGTGGAAGATTCCCGCGGTTACTTGAAACGTTTTTAATAGCCATACGTTACGAGGTGTTTTATCAGTTAGTAGAAAAAATATACAAATGTCTGGTATAAATATTGGATTGCAGCGAGGAATTTTCCGCCGTGCGCGGCGGATCGACGCGCGATTTCTTCGCGTCTTTATTTGTATAATTTCTGATAATACATGTTTTCTTTGCGCAACAGAAAACACGTTTCAATTGCGCAAGAAGAAAAGCAAATTTGCAATAAGAAGTATACTCGAGATCGAAAAAACAAAATTGATAATAATTTTTAAGAGAGAAAATCTACTTTTGATTTTACATAAACACCAGGTTCTCTTCCGTCAAAAATACAAGCGTGATGTAATTTCTCTGTTTTTTTCCTGAATTTTATATATTCACATCTTATGCAAATGGAACAAAGATAAAATTAATTTGCAAAGAGATGATCTACATTGATGATTTTACACACAAGCAACAAATTTCAAACAAAAACGACAATTTCTCCCTCTGTTTTTCCCGAATGTTATTGTCGCGTTTTACACAAATAAAAAAAGAGAGCATCTCTTATCTTGTTTCCCACATTCGCAATGTTTTCCTTTTCCTCGTTTCTTCAAAAACGAATTTGTAAATAATAATGCGTCATGCGTGGGTGTGTTAATGACGATGTATTCACAGCTGCGGAAAGGAGGAGAAGGAGAAGGAGCGGAATTACTTTGTAACATACTTTGTGCATTGCTAATGACCGCTAAAGATGTTAATTCGATCAGTAAACACGCGCGCAATCGTCAGTGTGCTTTTCGTATTTTTTTCTTTCTTTCGCTCGTTTGTCGTATATATCAATTAGCGGTAGCGATAAGTTATTTAATCAAGATTACAAATATACCTCTTTGTTCGCCGGGATGTACGCGCGCGCGCGCGCACGTGTGTCACACATGCGAGAGAGCGCGTCGATTAATGATTAATAGATCGTACGAGCGAATTTATTTGCGCAAACGTTAATTCGACAAGTGAAATGCGAACGATCCTGTTTTCTCGCAGATATTTTTTTATCCACACATCTGTTTATTCGCTCTTTTATTTTCCACGCGACGGAATTAAAACAAAAAAATTTCTTCATCTCGAATCAATTTTTGCCCCGCGTATCTGTTTGTTTCTGATAGCGCGCGCGGAATTCCGTATCTTTCCCGTATCGGGAATCCGAGAAGCATCCGAATTTCCGAACGAGTGTTTGTATTTAACTCTTATACACACTCGTTCTCAACTACCGTCTGATCTTCTATTAACGCGCGCCGTGTGTCTAGGCCTGTTATTGATCTCGATCGATCGACGATAATTATCTCAATGAATTGTTAGAATTTGTGTATTTCGAAAAAAAGATGGAAATCGTAGCGAATTAGCTGACACGGCCCTCAATAAGAATGACTAATAAGATAAGTTTCCGCTCGTCGTTATCAGTCAGAAATTTTCAGATGACGAAGTTCTAAGTGTGCTATAGAAAAGACCAATGGAATATTACGGAATTTTTCAACGGAATTTCACGATAAGAACGGGCGCGCACGCTCCGCTGAACGTGTTAATTACTTAAATAGCGCGCTAAACCGAGAGTTTCGCAACACACCGACAAACAAAGCGTCGGTTTTTTTGTTGTTGTCGCGTTTACAAAAATATCGCGATTGTGAAGATTTAAAAATAATAATAGTGCCGCTGCGCACAGTTTACGTTTGATTCGCGTATCTGATTCCACGAGGTCTTTTAATTCTCTTCTCTCTCTCTCTCTCTCTCGAATCGGGTCTTTAAACTTTTACGTAATAATGTCTGTTTTTCCAGTCAACAACGCACCGACGTTTTCTCTCCATCCCGTTCTCCCTGGAATTCATCAGATCCTCGACGCGGATCGTCGCGCGAACGTTTTTTTCCCTCCCGGTTCCTTTCCATAAAATAGCTCGCGGAAGTACTCGAGAGAGAGACGTCGCACTTTATCTCGCGTCGCTTTCGATCGCGACGGATTGCTTCTGACTGCAGATTATTTGCATGCGACACATCCGCGCGATTCCTTTTTCTTTTTCCGCGTAAAATTATTTATTATTAGAATTTAACACAAATTATACATATTGCGCGACTAACGCGGTTGATTTATCGCGGCTTATTTGGAATTTTGTCAGTTTTCCCGGTAAGAAGAAAGATAAAACAAAAACAAATTGGTCACTCGACGCGCGAATTCCTTTTTGGATGAATCATCGCGCGCGAGATAATTAATTATAAGCGTCACATTTTTGCGCTAACTACAAGCACCAGGTGTGTGTGTGTGTGTCCGCCAAGTGTGTTTTACGTAATTTGCGCGTCACGTCACATTTCGCGCGCGAGCAATCTCTCTCTCTCTCTCTCTCTCTTCCGTTTGCATACACACGTAAACAATATTATCGCGCGTCCTAGGAAAAAAAATAAAGCTAGCTCATTATTATTACGCGCGTATACGCAGATATAATCTTACAAGTCAGAGAGTCAGACTCTGACTAACTAAGAATTCAGTGCACACGCATGAGTCATAACGTTCGGCGGATACACAAGCGTATCGAGGCGGAAGAAGCGAACGCAAGCGGAAGGAACGCGGACACAGATGCGCAACTGCGTTTCCAAAGAATTCCGATATCAAAGAATTCGCGCGGATTTCCGCAACGCGAGGAAACGCGTGCGCGCCCGACCGCCGATGAGATTCGAATTCGCGCGTCGTCGTCTTCCTCGCGAGCGAACGAACGAACGAACGAACGACGTGCCCACACAGGCACGTTTCGTTCTTGACATTATGCTCCGCGGAGAGTGTAAACGCTCTTTTCCGCGAGCATAATGAACTCCTGATCGACGCCGGAGTCGCGCGCCGTATAGAAAGTTTCGAAATTACGCGTGGATCACGCGGATCGAAAACGTTACGCGCGCGATATTACGCAAACGATCGATCATTTTCGCATCGTTCGATCTTGAATTTTCACGATACGTATGGAAGTAACAAAACAATTACGCGCTTAATTATCTTGAGAAATATAGATCTGTTACGTGCGCGTCTCGATCATCGATTAAGTCCGCCGTGTTTTTAATATTCGTTCCCATTACACAAGCCGCTTCGATCGAGATATAACCGGTAATCCCGGCAGAATTTCGCGAGATATACCTGAATTGCGCCGATAATTCTTCTCACGTATGTGTATGTGTGTGCGCGCGCGTGTGTGTTTTTTGCTATCTTTTGATTTATTTCGCGCGCCGTTATGTATTCGATGTTACAACACGGCGAGTTCGACGTCTGAAGGTAGGAAGATTCTCTCCTCTCTCTCGCTTGTGTCTATATTACAAATCACACATCTGCGTATCTCGTCGCGTTATCGAGATATTTTCGAGTAGTGGGTATTAGCGTAAATAATCTGCGCGCGAGATATTGTTGTTATCAGAGGATGATGAGTTCCTCTCTGAAAACCGGTAAATTACGCGACGAAATCGACATCACGACGGAGATCCGTAACGACACGGGATTGAGCAGTCATTAATGTCAGATAATGTTATTGCTTGAAAGAGAAACTCGTGCTTAATTTGCGGTCTTACTACCAATCCGCGAGATAAGCGGAAAAATTGACTGTTCTGTTTATGACGCGGGATCACGAGACGGAATTTCAGATAGAAGAGGCGCCGAAAAATCCAATGCAGAGACGTGCGTGTTTAGTCATTAGACACGCGCGCTGCACCGGCGACAGGGCGACGCGTTATTTTTTAATCTAAACGATTTAAAAGAGATAACGGAACGTAATGCATTACATCCACATTGCATTTAACTGAGAGATACGATAGGTGCACATGCCCGGTCCGTTCTCCAACGTGAGGAAAGACGTGTCGAATCACGAACACCGCGCGTGTCGCTACATTTTGTGCTCGTCAACGTTTTTATTTTTATTCATTAAATATATCAAATATATCAATATTGTTTAAGTACTTATTAAATATATCAAAGATCAAAAAATATTTTTATGAGAATTTAATTCGTTTGGAGGAAACCAAATTTTCCTTCAGCAGTTTAACATCAAAACAAACAAAATGAAATCAGATCATCACAAATTAGATTGCAAAATCTAAAAAAACGGAAAATAACAAATTCACATATTTGCTCTCATCTCAATGTAATGTTTTATCCGCGATACATTACAAATTTATAGTTAAATTCACGTCAAGCTCGCCAAGATCCGTTGGCATTCGATATCAGAACGTTTCCGCAACAGTCTTTTTTCTTTCTTAAATTACATTCCGAGAGAAAGTCAAGCACTCGGCAAGGTCGTTAAAAAGTCTAATACCGCAAGGGAAACAGCGCGCTCGCAAAACCGCTTTGACAATATTCGGACGCTTTCGCGCAAATCGTGCACGTGCTTGAAGGTCCGGAATCGCGCCCGGCCTCGCCTTCGCGAGCGAGGTGGTCCGGGGAAAAAAAAAAAAAAAAAAGCGGAGATCGAGAAAAAAGAGCGCGGGAAAAGTCTCCGGAGAAGGACATTTCGCAAAAGCCGAGTCGCGACTCGTGAACGCACGTCAATCAACGGCTACCGGTCCGTTTATCTATATTTTCTTGGTTGTGCAACGCACACAGCTTCGATCGCCAATTATTGTGCGTATTGAGCGAACAAAAAAAAAACAGAACAGACAATCGCGCCGCACGTGGTCGCGAGCAATCGCGAAACACGAGAAAACAATGTTGTCCTTCGGGTGTGAGCGCGCAAGAGGAGCTCTCTCGTTCTCGCCCGCAATAAATCGACGCGATCGAACTTTCCATTCTCATGATCGAACTGTCGCGCAATCCGCTAAGCCGTCGAAAATATCACGTGCGCGCAACAGTTACATTCCGCTTTATTATTATCCTGTCTCGTAATCGATCCCCCGCGGGTTATTAAAAAAAGACGCGATATATATACTCGGTCCCGCGCGATTTAGAGACACACTTTCAATTCCGTTTTGAGCGAACGCGTTTTTCATCGATACGGTTTAATTAACGCGTAATGATTCGCGAATTGAATCCCGAGAGATAACGCGAGCGGAAAAAAAATAAGAAAAATAAATGATAACGCGCGAAAATCAATGAGTCTTTCGCGGAAAGGTGAGAGAACACACATTTCGCTCGCGCGCGCGCGCGCGAGAGAGACAGAAATATATAAAAATGTCTCACCATCTGCGATTCTTTTCTTTCACATCTGCATGTGCGTTCGACAATTGCACATTTTGCAATTGTAATTCCGCGATATCGGTTTCTCTCTCGCATAATCAAAAGTGAGGTAACGATAACGTCGTTTTTCAAGCTTCTGCCGTTTGAATATCGGCGCAGTTCGCTCGAAAAAAAAAAAAAGACTGAATTTTCTTTCGAAACGCGCCGCGAACGCACAAGGCCGACGCATTAGTCCGGTTTACAATTGCGGAACGCCGCAAAAAGAAAGAGAAGCCAGAGGTTTCTGATAACCGCGAAAGGTTAAAACCTTTGCGCCGTGAAAGTGTGTTGTTTTCACGTTTCATAAAATAAACTCATTAAGGATAATCGCGAATAAAGTAAAGCTATTCGAGCGTTCGTTTTCCGCTAAGTCAGAGTTTTGCCTTTTCCCCCCGCGTGACTTCCTCTCCCCCTCCCCCTCTTCGTCCCTCGCGACATTTACCGTGGACTTTTCCGTGTCAAGGCGTAGCAGGTGTTTCGCGAGGTGTTTTAATCGAGAAAGAGAAAAATCTTATAAATATTGCATTACTTCCTGGAACAACACGTAATCTCGCGAGAAACCGCGAGAAGGACGCGTGTTTTTCTTTTTCTGATAATTCAACTGAGAACATCAACACCTTGTCATTCGTAAAGAAAAAAAAAAAAACCAATATCGAAGGAAGATTCGCGAAAATTAATTCACGGTGAAAGTAGATCATGTCACGTGTGCGCGTCGGAAAATCAGACGTTCGAACACTGACTTATCTTCCCGCGATGTGTGTAAACACATTCATCGCTTCTTGGTTGTTAATAAATACATTTAGATATCGACACGTGTGTCTAATTCACATTATCTTCACTTACCGTGCTCGACGTAAATCCCAAATTGACGTGCGACATCTTGGAGAAGGAGGAGCACCGATCGGATCACCAGACGAGACGAGGGTCCTGTCGTCGCGACGCTGAGAGTGGCTCGGGAAAACGCGAGAGAGAGAGATAGAGAAATTTGCGAACAGGTGTGAAATCTCGAGATAAAAAAAAAAAAAAGATAAAGATAAAAAAAAAAAAACAATATAAGTTGAGAAAAGGGAGAAGAAAATGGCTCGCTTTTAATCTCTGAAGGTACGTTGCATTGTCGTGTCGTCACGGCAAGGTAGGTGTACGGCCGCCGCAAGTAGACTGATCTGAGTTAGCGCGCCAAGTATTATTTATATAGCATCGCGGCATGTGCGACTCGCGCTCGCCTGCTACCGTTTCGTATCGTTTCGGTTACCGGACGGTTCCGGACACGGCAAACCGGACGCGCGAGCGTTCTTCTATTCGATGACGCTTCCTCGTTTCGGAGCTCCCTCGTGTCGGAGATGGATGATCACCGGCACATAATCCGGCGACGATGACATTTCGGGATTCTGCATCCGAGGTGAAGGCGAAACACGTCTTCGCCGAGTCAAAGGCGACGGACACGACTCCTCTCGTTCCGTCTGCATTCTCCGTGTGCGCTCGATGAGGATAAGTGCGAGGGCACAGGTAGTCCTTGTGTGTATATACGGGACGGGTGATGCGCAAGTTGACGAGGAGTCTTACGACGCGCTCGTCTGATCTTTTAACGCAATGTATTGTTTCAATCAGCTTTATCTCGATCTAATCTACGAGAGAGAGAGAGAGAGAGAGAGAGAGAAAGTTGAAAAAACGATTGGCAATGTAAAAAAATACATATACATATATAAACGAGGTCATCGTACAAACGCGAACGAAGAACAATATATTGATTTTGAGCAATTCTCTTGATTTTATCACCAAATGTTTAACAATGATGTTTGTTTAAATTCAAAGATTAAGTATTTTTTTACGAAGATAAAAAGAGATTATTTTCAAGAAGACGATAATGCAGAGAAATCCAATCGAGAAGAACCTTCGGCGATACGCCAAATAATCGCGATCGAAAATAATCTCCGCTCAATCGAGCTGATCAATAAATTGACGCAATGTGATTGATTTATTGCGAATTTTTTTTTCTTGAAAATTTGAAAGAGAGCTCCGCGTTTCTATTTATTATCCTCTTTTGCGATTTGTAAATATTTACACGTGTACGATAATGTAATTTATTCACTTCGCAAATATGTCAATGGATTATAACCAGTTTAATTTATTCCGTTTCTCTTTTCTTTCATTCTTTTGTCCGGCGCACGCTCAAATAAATTTTATGACTTACGTAATGGGTCGAGATCTCGATTTTGTGATGTATGTATGTATTCGACAAGAGATAGAAATATCTGGTATTTGCATTAAAAAAAAAAAACAAAAACAAAAAACAAATCCATTCCACTAGTTGCAAACTTTTAAAAAAACTCGAAAAATCGACACGCGTCATTATAAAAAAATTTCCAAGATAAAAACGTTTCACCGAAGTATTTGCTCCTGTGCACCAAATACAAAATATAAAATCGATGCGTATCTTATTTATTGAACGATGTAATCACACAAATTTTTATCTTCCCGCGGCACTATTTGATGTGATAACGTAAAAAACATCTATGTGTTACGTGACCAATTAAGGTAATTTTTTTTTTTTTTTTATGGCGTCCCTCATTTATAGTCTTTGCAAGTTTGTAAAGTTTGTCTAGCAAAGAGTAGAGAGATATCAAAAGCCTTATCTTTTTTCATATTCCGCGAAAAAAAGTCTTTCACGTGTGCGGACAAATTCGACACCCGATTGTATCTTACACACAAGTGTTGATAAATTGTTGTACATATAAATTACATCAGAGATTAAGACGCTCTCACACACGACCGTGTATAAATTACACGTTAAATTAATTATTGAATTTTTTCGCGGCGTTATTGTCTCGTGCAAAAACCAAACGTTTTCTTTTTCCACAAACTCGTCGTGAGAAAGAAAGAGTTAAAGAAACAAAGAGTTAAAAAAAAAATCGATATTTTTTTTTAAATAAAATCTCGGCAATAAATCATGTCATTTTGACAGTTTGACATTCGTAATCGAGATATCGATCTTGAAAGAGATACGCATGTTACCGATTGAAAAACGTGGCTGGAATGCCCGAAAACAACAGAAATATGTAATATTCTTTCTGCAATTTTTTTGCAAACATATCTAAAAAAAAAAAAGAAAAACAAACAAACAAAAGAACGAGAGAGCGCGCGCGTGTGGTGGTGGATTTCTCTCGGAATTACGGCCACGACGGTCGCACGTTGGCTGACAGATTAATTATCGGAGTAGAAGAATGCACACACGTTTATTCGTAGAAATCATAATCTTCAATGAGAAGATAAACAATTCATAAAGTATACGCGCGCGTTTGGAAGACAGAGTGACGCGCGCGGTGTAGGAGATGACACACATTCCACAATATATGACGAAGACCGTTTCGTAGTGGCAGAACTCCGGCGAAACAATATTTTCCACACGTGTGGAAAATTACCGATTCGGGAATGTCGCTTCTCGAGCGTGTTTCAAGTATAAAACCTAATCGCGTCGAAGCAATTAATTATTAGTATCTTTAATCTTCGCGCATTAATCTAATGAAGAGACACGATAAAACACACGTATATTATACAATATATCTATTAGCGTAAGGTCAAGTGACTCGCTTTTCGATTTCGACGGAACATCGTCACTCCACCTGAGCGAGAAAAGAAATAAATAAATTTGTTGTTCACCGCCAAATCGATAACCGAATCGCGCGCGTGCATTCGACAATATTGTTTCCGCGAACAAACCCGTAATCAAATAATAATCGCTTTTGGCTGATAACTGACGAAGCGATTTGAGGAAAAATATATCTCTTTATCATTCGTGTGTGATCATCGACAGTTAGGGATGGGTACCTTGGCAAAGCCCGATGACTCCTCGTCGAAGGCGCGTGACGTCGTCGCGCCACGACCATGGATATATTTCGTGTGGGAGTAGACGTGAGAGGTCGATGAATCCACTTTTGAATCACGGTCTCGTCCTTTAGACTTCGCGCGGTTCACCTTCCTTCCAGACAGGGCATTGTGTACAATACACTCGCGCGCACGGATGATCGCGTCGCATAATAAATTAAGAATCATCGCTCTCACAGAGAACAATGTCGTACTTTGACACACACACGCGCGCGCGCGCGCGCGTACACACACTTGCTTTTTATTTTTGCCTTCCAGAAGGCGTAGGTACGTGAAAAACAAAATTTTTTGGCCGTCGCCGCTCTCGCGTTTGAGTATGTGTTTAGAAAATATTTCATACGTTTTGCATTAAAAAAATCTCAATTTGACTTTCTATTCGCGACACGCGCAAGAACAGCTTCGTCGGAAGATTATCTTTGGCCGCAATAAAATGATTTGATCGAGAGAAGTTGCGAACGATATATATATGTATAATACGTAGGTACGTTGTATTCATAACGTTTCTCTTTCTATAAGTAATGAACTTTTACAAACCAGTTTTGTACGTCGATACGAGACGTTACTTTGTATATACGCGCAACGATTATGCGGTATTTCTTATTTTCACAGTTGCCGCGTAGTCGTGTGAGGAAAGATTCGAGATCAAATGAAGAATTGCCAGTCTCGATTGATTTACACAGTGGGTATTTAATAACATACGTGTCATGGTCGACATGCATTCTCAATTTGTTCGAAGAAGAAGAAGAAGAAGAAACATTTTTTTCGCTTAGCGCGTATATCATAAAATATAAAGTTTATTACAAAAGTAGAGATTATATCTATATATTTGGTGTCTGTTTGTATATACGTTTTTCTTTTTTTTTGCTTTTATTTTTCTTCTCTTGCTTGAATTTATTTATAATCTACGGGAATTGGTATATATTTCAATTGCAATCGGAGGAGACGCGTGCGTTTCGACGAAAAACGTCGATACGTTGCGCAAAACTTCAATGTAGGTATATAAAAATGTTTTCGAAACAAAAGAGAATTGACTTGAATCTCTCGCGATGATTTTTTTTTTTTTTTTTTGGCACACTTTTGACAGTCAAAAGTTTAATTAGTTAATTCGAACAACAGTTAACGTAATAAAAATCTATGTGGAAAACAATATATATTTAAATATATTTAACCTCTCAAATAGTGTAGAAAGAAAAGCAAATATATATATATATATAATATGTATACATAAGATTATACAAAATAAAATACAAAACTTAATGCATGATTTTTTCACATGATTATGTGTATAGGGGTTTCATGTGCTTGTATAATGCGTGATCTATTTAATTTCAAATTTACATAATTTTTTTTTCTCTCTCTCTCTCTCTCTCTCTTTCTCTCGTCTTGATATTATTAGAAGCGTTGCATGCAAAATATGCTCACCGTTTGTTAAATTCATGTTTACAAAAATCAAGCGCATCTCGCCCAGTGTATAATATATTTTTTTCTATCTTTTTGTTTTTACAAAATTAAAATAAAGATCTTAACAGTATAGCGAGAGCGCAATTCCATTGCAATTCGATCAAAAATTGAAGGCATCGAACATAAAAGTAGCGAGAATTCGATTGTTTATATATTCGTAACGTTTATTTTCCGTACTGTACAAAGAACCGCGCGCAAAGCACAGCCGCGGATATTTTTTTTTTATATTTATTTATATAAGCTATATCTTCGAGAGCAATTAACTTACACGCCACGTAGCTGTTTAAATGCAACAATGTACAGAGAGACATAAGAAAGTGTCGTAATTTACAGAGAAAAGAGTTTTTTTTTTTTGGAAGATATCAGAATACAGAGTACAGAGTTGTGGAGCGGAAAACTGAATAAATCCTCCTTCCTCGAGGTACGATATTCTTGAACTCTGCGCATGATCCTACGTATTTTTTTTCTTTTTTTTTTTAACTCGCTCGTCAGAGTCGTGTCGTACCCAGACTCTTGAATATTCTTGTTGTTAGAAACATTATACTATCTACTTTTACTCCAGTGTCTTCAATTCTTGGCAACGTGTTCCTCTCCTTCACAATATCGCCCTCACACAAGTACAGACATGTGTACATATACGTACATGTATTAATGTGTACATATTATACACACATGCGCAACAGTGTATACATAAATTGCGCATGTGTACAATATATATGCGTGTATACATATGTATATATCTCTTGAATAATTAACAAACTCTTTACGATCTATTAGATATTACACGTAAAATTAGTTTTTTAGGTAAGATTCTTTCTGAAAATATTCAATGGGTCTGCAGATACACTATATAGCCGCTGTATAATTTTTTTTTTTTAATATATATATATATAACAGACACAGTCGAAGAGCGTAGAGTGGTTTTCACTCACCACACACCGAGCGAGTGTTTCACACACTCACACACCACACACACACACACATACACACACACACACATGCGTCCGCGTGTTATCTTAGTACAACTGCGATAGGATAGGAGTTAATAATTGCAAAATATAGAACATTTGAACATTCAAATCAGCATTATGTCAGAATCCTCAGTATTTCGTCTACAATTCCCGACAGTAATGAGTTATTGTCACTTTTACCTTCGATCATCAAGTTTCCCGTCGATCTCTGTAAAAATCAAATCGCGCGATGTGTAATCGAGTTTTTTTTTTTTTTATCGCCAAGTTACTTTTTTTCAACTGAGTAAAAATGAGCGACTTACGTTATATTTCAACAAAAGGCACACATGATGTCCCTTCAAAGAGTGTCCGTAAAGCGACGCCGTGTCGTTAATTTGTTCTACGAGTGTGAGATTGCATTTACGGCAGATAGCGTTGAGAACCGCGTCGAAGTCCTGGGAAGGCGTCACTTCTCTCTTAATCCTAGATACTAATTGACCGCTTGTGAGAAGTTCCGTGAGTATGTCCTTGTGAGAGAGATGACCGATCATGAACTTGCTGCACGACAAGTGCGCGGTGAAGTCGAGCTTTTCTTGTTGCGTGCCCTCTTTATCGTCGAACATGTACGTCAGTGTGCCTCTGAGCTTCTGAGCGAACGTCACGTCCGAGACTAAAATTGTGAACTGGGTTTCTTTACTAGATTGCGGAGGCAGTTGAAACGGCAGTTTCATCCCGAATTCGTCTCCAGGCTGGAAAAGACATTAATGGACGAAAATGCTATTTATCTTCGAGTTAAACCAACAGAATATTCCTGAAACGTGTTAATTACTCACATTTCTAAGTAATTTAAGTGACAACGTGTCCGAAATATCGAAAACAAATTCCCTCACGAGCGACTGACCTAAATTCGTAATGTTTATTGACACGGTAATTTGATTCGAGTCATGAGGGATCTGTCTCAACTCGTACGTCATGGAAATGATTTTGTTCTTCGCTAATTCCTCATAGGCGACACTTTGCTGCACGGAATTCGTATTGATCTCGGAATTCGGAATAATATCGTCTTTTAACTCCGGTAATATTTCTTTGGACGGGGTGGATATTCCCGCAGTCTCTTCGTAACCCAATAATTTTTTCTCTTTCTTACTTTTCGACTTCTTTGATTTTCGATGTTTCGAGTCTTCCTCGGTGGACTTCTTGTGTTTGTCCTCTTTCTGACTCTTTGACTTCTTGCGCTTGCTCTCTTTTTGCGACTCGTTGGACATCTCCGTATATCCTCCAAGAGCGGGGGATTGAACTTTCTCGGGAGAATTGGTTTCCAACCACAAGTCGGGCGACTCTTTCTGACTGTTCACCTTGTTTTCCGCTTCCTTTACTTTTTTTTTAGATTTTCTATGTCCCTGTCGATAATAAAAATATACGTGATATCAAATCAATTATTAACAAAAATTTTATAGAAGTCTTATAAATAAACTAATTGAAATCACGTTACGGTACACTTTTTCATTATAAAAAAAAAAAAAACTAATTTACTTTTTCCTTTTTGGTTTCTTTTTCTTCAACTTTCTTCGTTATATTATTTTCAATAACTCTATGCTCCAAGACGGGCAATCTCTCGTCTTCTCTCAAAGGCATGTCAAGGTCAATGTTCAAAGCTCTATGTGGATCGTTAGCATCCACCACATCGTAATCGTCGCTGTCGCTTATCTCCGCGCCAGGAGGAAGTTCTCCTATACCGGTGTTTACTACTTGCACCGGTACTTTATCATCCTGTTCTTCGTCCTCCGACGCAGACTTTTTGCCTAAAAATGTTCAATATTAGAAGTCGCGACTTCCTAACAAATTTTCTAACAGTACGACTTATGTATAAGATAATTACTTTTATTTTTCTTCGACTTCTTCTTCTTTTCGTGCTTTTTATGTCTTTTATGATTGTTGTCTGTACTTCTGTTTCGACATCTATGCGAATTGGAAATCTTTAGAGAGATCGGTATGTCTAACTCCGCGACGGGAATGTTTTCGAAGTCTTCGTACATGTTCGATGAATTGTGATATGACGCGGTAGTCTTGAACGAGCCTTTCAGATAATGAGGATTATTCTCTTGTTCTAGTTTTCTCGCCTCGCGTCTCCTCTCGAGCTCTTCCGTCGACGGTTCGTTCGAGTCTCGCTTGGAGTACAAGTCGCTCGGCTTTTCTGTCTTAATAAAAATATCATTCATATCTAAGTCTTCTGAATCTGAGCTCTCTGAGGGAGGATCGTTGATCCACGAATCTAGATCCAAGTCCTCAGGTATTGGTACCTGCAAGACATTCACAACAAAATGTATAAATAATCCACAATTTAAAATTGTTTTAGTTTTACGCGTATTATCACTAAAACATCCCCTACTTTTCTTTGAGCTTTTGGCGCAACCGGATTAAGTTCACCTTCGAAAGCCTCTTTTAGTTCCTGGGCAAGACCAGGATTCTCTTTCAGCAATTCGAACAGCACTAACGCGGAGCTCGATCTTTCTTGAACTTCCAGATCACCGCTGCAGACAAACGCTTCTATTTTGTCCTTCAATCCATAAATCTGTACAGCAAGACCCAATTTAACGCGCAATGTATAAACTAACTTTAAAAATGTTAAAAACAATATCAAAGTTCGATTATCATTACATAAACTATGTTGAAATACCTTGTCCATTGTTTCGCTATCACCTTCCTTTTCCGCTTTAGCAAAAGTAGTTGCAGCCAATTTTAATATATTGTGAACATAAACAGCCTGTATATGGCCTGGCAAACTAGAAGCTTGCGATCGCAACATAGATTGCAAGGTTGCCAAAGGATCTTCCAGTTCACTACCGATTTAATAACACATTGTCAATCATAGTGATTACTGACGAACTAACAAAATCTTGCAAAAAAAAGAATCACTACCTAGAGAATTCTCCGCAGATCCATGCCGCGGCGTACAAAACTTCAGACATTGTCGCCCTTGGCTGGCCGGTCAAAAGATATGAATTCTCAAGCAGTAAGGCACATTGTTGAACCGCATATTTTCGTATAGCTTGTACGCGAATCGCTACGTCGAGTAATTGAGTCGCTACTAATGGTCCGTGCTTGGTGCCTTCCATTCGCGTAAGTTCCACCAATACAGATATGTACCTGCGATGACGAAGTCTCACATTGATTGAATTTTGCTTTTCGAAGAACGAAATTTTGAATTTTTGAAACTCTCGATCGACTTACCACTCAAAATAGGTAATAAACTGATAATTGTTCTGTGAGCAAATTTGTATAATCTTTGAAAGCAATTCGTCGCGATACGTAGTGCCTTCGGCTTTGTCCATGTGCACCATTAACTTCTTAACTATCTCCATTAGATTCTTCTTAGAAACCATTCCGTACAACAAGTCCAAGGCACGCAGTCTTATACTTTCGTCTTTGTCGTCGAGGCATTGCATAATTAGATCTTTGTGAGCCTGCACGCTCTTCGGATGAGTCCGCAGTATCTTCGACATCGCCAACAATCCCAGATACTTCAGATTTTGGTCAGAATCCTCTATCAATATTCTCAACTTCTGAACACACAGCTGTATCGAATCGGAATGATTCGGCATGCCGGACGATATAGAAATCAATACGGCTATTACCGTATTGATACACTCGTAGAGTAACGACATTGCGGATGTACTAGAAAAGCATCGGTATGTTATTATGTTTGTTTCCGACTGTGTTGTTTCGATTATAGAAAGTGTTCCATATGTGCAAATTACGTGAATAATGCTACATTACGAGAGAGGTAAAAAACAACCGAGAGAAAATTGACAAACAACACTGCTAAAGTTCCAAGCTGGTTATTACTTGTGTATCAAGCGATGTTAGTAACAATTTACAAACGCAATGTTATCGATAAGTTGTGCTTCAGAATAAAAATACATCATGTACCTGTGTATCAAATTGGTAAGAGGCTCTATTAATTTTTTTCCAAGCCTAGGTTCTAGAGGCGTCAATGCTCCAAACTGAAAATACGATATCTTTGGATTCTAAGAGGTACTTGGCAAAATTTTTTTTTTTTCAACAAAGAAGTGTGGCTTACTTCTTACTTCATCAAAATCGAACACGATAATGAGACATAAAGAAAAAATGAGCTGTCACAAATGATGTTTGGAATAAAATGTGTGCGTTATGTGCCAAATATATATATATATACAAATGTTTCTACGAAAACGCTTACTGATACTGATGCGCTCTATCAATAGCGTCGACTGCACATAAAAACATTTATATAAAACTTCATTATATATAGGATAAAACAAACTTATAAGTAATGTGAAACCTTGAAATCAGATCAACTAATGGTTGTGTGAGTCGCCGACCCAGGTTTGGCTCGATCAGAGTTATAGTTGAGAACTGAGTAACGAGAAACAAAACCGATATGGCTTTTACAAATATTTAAAAATTATTGTAAAGATATCAACAGAGAAAAACAGATTGCGGATGAGTTGATGTTTTTGCCAAACTCGTGTAAAAGAACATCTCGTTGATACTCTGGCGATAGGAGAGCAATAACACTTACCAGTTTGATAATCTTAATGAGCATCCAATTATTCGTGGAAGTCGTCATTAGCTTAAAGAAAACGGGCGCCAGGCTTAGATAATTTTTCGGATTTTTCCTGGCTAATTCGCAGACTACATTTACAGCCGCGCTCTGAACACCGCTGTCCGGATCTTCGAGTTTTTCTTTCAATCTAGGAAACGCTGGTCTCAGAGCCTCGGGAAATCTCAGGAATACCTTGTACATCATCAAAACCGCCTTCTTGCGCAGATACGGTTTTGTGGATGTCAGCAAAGTCATTATGTCGTGAACTAGGTCGCGCGCTAAGTCCGAACTTATAAAGCAAGACAGACCACTCAGCGCCAAACCCGCATCGTATTGGTTCTGACTATTTAAATCTTTACGAATCATATTTGTGGTCAGCATAAGTAGCTACAACAAAAGAAAAAGAACATTACAAAACAAGACCACACGTGCAATCTTGCATCTAATCTTCTGTACAAGTAAAATTTTACCTCTGTATCCGCGTGAAAACTCTGACTCGCAGCAAGGTAGCCAATTCTCTTGTAAGTAAACTTTGCAGAAGACATGACTTCTATTATATTAAACCCAGCCCAGCTAATATCATATCCTAACATCTGGAGCTAAAAACACAAAACCAGATCAGTTGTCAATAATCGGAGCAAAATTAGATCGAATTGATTCGTATAGCAAATCAATTGCGCAAAACATTATTACACATCAGTGTTTAGCACTTGTGTTTTTTTTTTAAATTTTCACAAAACTCACATATGTTAACTTGGCCACAGCGTTTGCCTTGACCGCCACATTGTCCTGCCGCAGCTCCTGCTTGATCTCCTCGATGCATTGAGCGATGTACTTCGCCTGTGATTTAAAAAAAATCACAAACAATTCGTTTAAAAATTCGTGTCGCGGACAACAAAACGAGAGAAATAATGAAAGATTAAAGGTTAGGTTCCGACAACAATTTCACCGGAGAAATATCGCGAGAGATCATCACGGGAAGGGGATCACCTCATTCTCCTTGTTGTTCCTGATCCCGCGCACCAGATCCGTCAGATTCTTGTCGAACATACGCTCGAAGTTTCCCTTTACTTTGCGCAGTGCCATGATCGCATTTGGAAAAAAAAAAAAGAAATTAAAACGTCTCTTCTCTCTCTCACGCGAGTTTATCACTTAGGGGGCTTCCTCGCGCATCGGCCGGATCGTAATTTTTCTGATTGCAATCGGGACGAGACGTGGCCCTGACACCGTGCGATCAACCGTGAACAAACTCGTGGGCATCAATCTTGCGGGTTTTTACCATTCACATATTTTTGACAGATCGGCGAACGAGGGACTCCCTGATATATCGGAAGTCATTCCTAGGAAATGTCAAAAGTAACAGGCACAACTGCCAACCCTATCTGCACCCGAATCCGACGTATTCGCTCATCGGGGCGCGCGTGTCTCTTCGTCAACGCGATCCGGCCACTGTGCGACTTAGGTGCCGCGAATTCGAATCTCGTGTCTCACTTTTTTACCCGAACGTGTCTGTGTACGCGCGATATTACGTAAATTCGCATCTGAATATTATTGTGAAAACAAATAATATCCGAACAATATCAAAAATCAACTGACAAACACGTCGAATTTCGAAAACACAGATTTGTTCCCTGACAGCTGCACTTTTGCAACACGTCGTCCTTTTTCCTCTTTGTTTTCCGTAAACAGAGAGAAACCAAGCACGCAGCGCGAAGCCTGGGCGATGATTTCGCGTCGCAATCTGACGACGAGACGAGTTGAAAATTCGTCGCAAAATAAAAATCGAGTCCGTATCGCGTGTAATTTGCGATACGGAAAAATCCGCCAATCAAACGTCCGATCAAAGAGACCGCCTTGTTAACGCGAGAGGCGCGCGATTGGTCGCGCTGGACATCTTCAATGAAAACAAACAACAAACACCGACTGACGCGGTCGCGATTATCGCGCACCCGACACATTTGCATTGCGAGGAAGTTCATAAACGCGACCGACCAATTGCGGATCTGATGCCAGCTTGAATAATTGATCAACAAACACGTACTTTCCGTCTCTGTTACACGCTTGTCGGAAGATAAATTTACGACATGCGACAGTTAGTCAATTAATCGAACACATTCGCACGAACACACGCACGCGTTACATACGATCGACCCTTCTTTGTATTGACCCACCCACACTCGCTCCCCCGGGACGAGCGTTCGTCTTCAGAGTGCTCTCAACTTTCGCGGTCGATCGTTGTCGGGAGGAGGGACAAAGAGACCGATTCGAGAGATAGATCCCGATATCGTCCCGCGGTCGACGTGCCGGATCGTCAGGAATCGCCGAGTCCGTTCCCGCGACTCGTTTGCGGGAGACGAGGGACGAGGGAGAGCTTCGAGATAAAAGCGCCCGGAAGTGCGATTCGGCGGGGACGGGGACCTGCCAGTGTCCGATCCGGTCTGCGTCGTTCGTCCGGGCGTCGAGAAGGCAGCATCGGCATTAACAACATCGCATGGTACGAACACGACGTGGTGCGAGGTTGAGAACCGCTCGGTTTTATATGTTAATATCTTCTTATCTCCCCCGATGCGCCGAAAATACCTTGCGTAACGAGAGATAACGCGACGTATCTCGTGTCATATGGCCGCGCTCGATCGGATAATTCGATCCGATAGCTCGGTTTTACGTCATGAGTCGCATCGGATCGTTTGTTTTCTCGCGTCCGAGACGGCGATATTTTATTTTTTATTTTTTTTTTTTTATATCGTGTAGAATTTCGCTGACGCACATGTGCGCAACATTGCCGCGTAACATATTGCGGCAATGTTAACACTGGCTTTATCGAGCGAACTTCCCGTATCTTTGTATACGTGCGGATTGACTTGTATATATGTTACATGATTGCAATTTGCAGTCCGTGTTTACTCTGATATGTTGTTCCGCAGATAACAACTCGGGACAAGTGAATGTCTCATCAACGACCGAACGATGACTTCGGACTATTTTGGCTTGCCCATTAACATGGACAGGGTGTGCAGAATCTGTCTGACCGAGAGCGCCAATCTGTCGCCCATCTTTTCTCAGGAAGTGAACGACCTGGCGGATCTTTCGCACAAGATACAAGTATGCGGCTCCATCGAGATAAACGAACAGGACGGATTGCCTACTCTGATATGCAGCAGTTGCGTCTACAAGGCTAATGTCGCGCACGATTTCAGACAGCAGTGCCAACACTCGGACGCGAGACTGCGCATGTATTATAACAAGCCCGCAAAATATAACATCACGGTAAATATTGTTATTACATGTTGTCCATGTTGATATTTCGTCAATAAAAATTGACGAGATACACGCGCAGCTTCAATGTCAATGTTTCAGGATTCTTGTACACAAACAGACTCACAAACCAAATTTGTGCTGTTCGCGAAACAGGAACAGCAGCACTCTCGGCACGATTATTTTGTCAACAAGGAAGATTTGTCAATAGTCAATACCTGTGCGAATCCGCAAGAGTACATTGAGCCTACCGATACGTTTTCCAGAGACAACGTCAGTTTGAACACCAATCAGATTCCCAATTTGCCGGACAAACTGTTCATGTGTTCCATCGGGTTCGAGGGAAACAAGGAGGAAGAGGGAAAAGATTCTTGCATGCCGGAAGGTAACGTCCAAATGGAGATAATGCAAGAAGATGTGCAAGACACGTCCAACATAATTTACAAAGCGACGAGTCTACAAACCAAGAGCGACGAAGCCATGGAAGTGAGTCAGTGTATGGAGAAGAGTACCACGGAAGAGCAATTTGTCAATTTGCCGAGTGATAACGCGATAGAGGAGGAAAACGTTCCGCAGGAGGACGTTCCGCAAAAACGAACGTCCACGAGGAAAGCGAAACTGTCCAAAACGTACAGCGATGAGGATAACATAGACGACGATTATTTCGAGCCGAGTAGCGACAGTCGGGATTCGGTGGATTCGAAGTTCAAGTGCAAGGTTTGCTTGAAGCAATACGCTACACTGAAGGGTCTGAAGAAGCACGCGTTGGTCCACGAAAAGAAGTACAAATGTAATGTTTGCTGTAAGATGTTCTACAAGCAGGAGAACATGGAGAAGCATCAGAAGATACACGCGTCGAAGCCGCACGCGTGTCAGCTCTGTCACGCGTCTTTCTCCAAGCCTCAGACTCTCGTGAGGCATCTGAAGTCCCACACGGACAAGGTGAACGACATGATCAAGCAGATCAACACGAACGAGCGGAGGGATAGCAAGGAGCCGAAAAAAGAGCCCAAGCTCGAAGACGACAGCGAAGATGACGTGAGACCTGCGAACGAAACGGAGGAGTTCGAAGCCGCGCCCGAGATGTTCAAGTGCGATACTTGCAATCAATACTGTTCTTCGTCGAAGAACTTGAAGAGACACGCTCTCTTGCACGGCGAGAAGAGGTACTCTTGCACCGTGTGTAACAAGTGGTTTTACAGACCGGACACGTTGAAGAAACACGCGGAGAAGCACGGGCACGGATTGCTCGACAATCTGGCGGACAACAACAAGATGTACGACGACTCGGACGACGAGATGCCGAGCAACAACACGGCGGAACCCGCGCCGGAGAACGAGAACATCAAGAAGGAAGAGAGCGACGAGGACGGGACCGGTGAGTACAAGTGCCAGCACTGCGACAAGGTCATGGCCACGAAGAAGGGTCTGCGACGACACGTGTCGTTGCACAAACCGAAGGCCGAGCCGGTGACCTGCGAGATCTGCAGAAAGGTCTGCGCGAGCCAGGCGCGTCTCGTGCTCCATCAGAGAACGCACAAGCCGAAGGAGAAGGTGCCGCGCGAGTATCTGTGCCACATCTGCAGCAAGGTGTATCCGAGCAACTCGTCGCTCACGTATCACATGCGCACGCACACCGGCGTCAAGCCGCACGTGTGCACAACGTGCAACAGCGGATTCACGACCACGACGAGTCTGGCGAATCACATAAGAATTCACACGGGCGACAAACCGTTCGTCTGCCACGTGTGCAGCGCCGCGTTCGCCGTGAGCTCGGCGTTCCGCAGACACCTGACTCGACACACCGGCGAGGCGAATTACGTGTGTCCCACCTGCAACAAGGCCTTCAAGCGACTCAGCACGCTGAAGGAGCACACGTACACGCATTCCGGCGAGAAGCCGTACGTGTGCAAGACGTGCAGCGCCGCTTACAGCCACAGCGGCAGCCTGTTCGCTCATCAGAAACGCTGTCGCGCCCAGTACGGCGAGATGATCGTCGAGGATCAAAATCATCATCACATACAGCATCCGGTCAGTCACATTCACATGAATATGAATCCCGTGAACAACCCTGCCCGGCCGCTCACCGTGTTAAGTCCGACGTACTAACTGATCCGCGGATCGGAGTGTGAAAACGTCACGAACTCGCGGTGTTAACGTCTGAATATTGCGCGCGAACTGCTGCCACGGTTGCGCGGGCGCGGCATGCAATAATTACGCGGATGAGAATTGTTCAAAGGTCGATGAATTTCAAGAATTTGGCAATACGAGAAGTGCGACTTCAAATCGACATACTTTAAGCCTCTTCCTCGTGAGGACTTTTTTTTTTTTTTTTTTTTATGTGAAGTAGAAGATTTATCAAAAAAAGACAAATGGCAACCGTAGCAGTACTTCGTACATAAGTTGAAAATATATCACAGCGAGAAAATATATACCTATTATTTGTAAATATATATGAGCAGACTTTTTTACAATAAAGAGAAGCACGTTCTTCTTGGATTCTCCACTCGAAGGAGTTTTTGCTTTTAGAAAAACACACACGCGACGAGCGCGCAATTAGCGCGATGTAATTGCGAATTAAAGTACATAATCACGCATTGACAAAGAGCGTTTTCCAAATATATAATAGAATAATAAAAATTGCCATCTCGCATTGAGAAGCAGCGGATTATTTTTTTATCGTTCGACGTCGTGATCATATCGACGCCGCGCCATATATATCAACATATGTAAATATTCATACACACGTATATATATATATATTTTTGTATAACATTCGTACACATACATAATCCTATTATATACATATACATACTACACGATATTGCTGGAGTTTGCGTATTTTAGAGAGAAAAAACAAATCGACATTTTCTAGAATGTTTTAATAATACGAAAAATTTCAATTTCAAATTTTACAACTATTTAAGGATTTGAATTTCTTAAAGTACCGCTTGATGGAAGTAGTGTTGATACACGCAGTACTAATGATAACAGAAATGTAATACCAGACACGCAACGTTTGAGCTGTGATTATATTCATAACTCGGTAAAGAGATTGACGTTTTTTCTTTACACACACGCGCGCGCGCGCGAGCGTATATACACATTCGAAAAATAATCGGCATATAAATTATTTAAACGCCAAAGTATATACATCATAGAAAAGACATATTTGCATTGTAGTGCAGTTGCAAATTTACTTAAAAAAAAACAAAAAAAAACAAAAAAAAACTATTATGCAAGAAATACATACATTATTAAGATGCATATTATGACGTAACAGTTAATCATATTGATTTTTCAACTCTTTGTTTAATAGATCGTATCGTAAAGCGCGTTTTACAGAGCCACTGACTTCAGCATTCGCGCGCCCCACTTCCTCTCGTTTAAATTTATCGTTTTATTACGATCTCGAGCTGCTGTCGTCTCTGAACTCGAGTGCCATAAATCGTTTACCAGGAGTAAACAAATTGCGAAACGCGAGAGGAACGGGGAGGAGAGCGTGATCGCCAGAAATCGGTGCCCGAAAAAATGCCAACTCTGAATTATATACATAGGCGAGACTGATTTATACCACTTATTTAGATATTTAGCCAATATATATATAAAGCTTGTAAATCTATTACTACATTTTTTAATGATTTAAGTTTTAGTATTTTAGTGGCTGACCTAGTATTATATCACTTTTATTTTATATTTTTTTAATTATTACTTTAAAAGTAGTATATTATTTTATCCGTAAATCTTGTCATAATATGGATCTCTCTCCATTTGTTTTCAATGCTATGTTTCCAAGCCTCTTAATTTAATTAAGAGAGAATTACTTTCATCACGCTCGTCATTTCCAACGTCGCGGGAGAAGAAATGGACAAGCAAACAAATTATCCGGACGTGAGAACGGAAAAATAATGAAATTGAACATGTAACCAGATGGCAAGTACTTCGTATTGTTTCATTTTAGTACAAAAAAGTTTGTCGAATACTTGTATCATATAGGCTTAAAAATGTATTAGGCTCTCCATATCTCTACTATATAGAAACAATAATTTGTAGTGCCATTTGGACAAATAGAATTTTCGTAATGAAATTGATTATTATTATCTATGCTTGCGCAAAAACCCTAATTTAAAAACGAAATGTATAGTTTTAAAACAAAATTGTACGCAAAATCTAGAAGATTTGATAGATTATGCAAAATTTCTCTCTCTCGTATAAAAAGAAATGAACAGTCTTAAAATGGATTTACCGTTTCTTAATTCCTGAAAGCATGCACAGCAGGTAAGCAAAAAAAAAGAATACAGATCTATTATCTTCGAAGTATGTGTATTACACAAATTACACAAATAAAAAAATTTTATCTCATAATGCTATATATATATTTATAAGTATTTCGTATATGAACATAAAACTATATATATATATATATATATCACGAGTAGTAATTTTCTGACAATAATAAATAATATCTTTTTACACTTTATAGTCGGTTTTGATTTTCTTACTTTTTCAGTTCAAATAGATTCTTTTCTCTTCGACTTCATGTGTTTGTTCTACTTTCATCCTTTTCTGTTTTACTTGACGAAATCTTTCCTATCTTCATTCTCGTCTTCACTTTCACTTGATGTATCGTCTTCCTTCTTTCTCTTCTTCTTCTTCTTCTTCTTTTTCTTCTTCAGTATTCGGTAACGCCGATAAATAGAGTGTCTTGTTCTTTTCAGAACTTTGGCCAAGTCAGAATACTTGTGACTTGGGTCCAGTGACGGATTGTTTTCCAAGTGTTCGAGTATCATTTGGTCTTCAGCAGGTGTGTACCTGATAATTTTAATTTTTAAGTATTAAGTATGTTGGCTTCTGGTATGTGTATATTTTTTGTAAAGCAATATATTTATAAAAATAACATTTTGTTTCTCACTACAGTTGTAGTTCAACAACAGTTGTAGTTGCATGCGAAATAAGTTCATGTCACACATTACCTTGAGTGCAGAGTTGGTCCGTATAGAGTCTTATATCTATGATAAACACTGTACAAACTTCTATTTGGAAGGCCATCGGCTAAGAATTGTACAAACTTTCTTCTTTCTTTGTGACTACGTATGTTCAACAGTTTGTTGTTGCTTCTCAACTCTAGAAACGGCCTTTTCACATTCCAATTGTGTAGCTGTTTCGGAATGTTTGTGTAAAATAATTTGTGAGCAAGTTTTACACACATTTTTAAATACAAATAGACAAACAAAAAGTTGAATTTCATTTTCAGCGATATGTATTGAAAAATATACCTGACACATACTTCACAAAATGCAGCCCAGTTTTTGACGATGATTTTATCCTCATCATGAGAGTACGCGCCCTTTTTGAGTGGTGCTATTTTTTCGAACTCCCTTACTTGACTCGGTGTGGGTAAATGTGATCCTGCACGTGTCTCGATTTCATGCTGCGGCGGCACTGTGTGCCTGAGTTTCACCGACAAATGATACAATTTCTGTAACAAAATTCATTCATATTTTAAGTTTAAGCTTAAAATTAAATTTTTTTTTAAATTAAATTAAGCGACATTATTACCATCGCTTCTTCCCGAGGAAGCTTCTCTTTCAGCGCAATTTCTCGCGCTAAATACGTTACATCGCTACAAAAGGATTTGTCCTCAATAAGCTCGTCGTCGTCGTCGTCGTCGTCGTTGTCGTCGTTGTCGTTGTCGTTGTCGTTGTCGTTGTCGTTGTCGTCGTCGTCGTCGTCGTTGTCCTCGGATATATTTAACTCTTCTTCGTATTTAATTGTACTGTTGTTCTTATACATATTTAATTCATCTTTACTTCTTTTGTCTCCAATTTCACTGCTTACAGATTTATCCGCATCAGCATAGTTACTCATATCCATTTCCTTCGTATTATTTTTCTTTTCCACTTCTATTTTCACAATTTTATCTTTCTCCTTTCCCACTTTCTTGATAATATTTTCTTTTTCCATTTTTTTCTCCCCATCACCTTCCTTTCTCTCTTTCGTTACGCTATCGTCTTTATTTTCCTCATTCTCCACATCGCTCTCCTTCTCCGTTTTTACTTTTACACTGCTCTCTTTCTCCTTCCTTACTTTTTTGATAATATTTTCTTTTTCCATTTTTTTCTCCACATAATCTTTTTTTCTCTTTTTCGTTGCGCTATCTTCTTTATTTTCCTCATTCTCCGCATCACTCTCCTTCTCCATTTTTACTTTTATACTACTATCGTTCTCCTTGTTATTCATTTCACTTTCCTCCTCTGCTATTTTCTTTGTGTGTGTATCGCGTTTTGTCTTTTTTATTTTATACTCCTTTTCTGACGTTTTCTTTGCATTGTCCTCTTCCGTCTCTTGCTCTATATCATCTCTTTCCAACTTTCTTTTTGCGCTCTTTTTCTTCTGTAACTTCTGTACTTGAACATCATTGTCTTTTATTTTTACATTAATATTTTCTTCCGTTGCTTCATTATTTACATCATTTTTCTCCTCCACTTGTTTTGCATCATGTTTCCTCTTTTTCTCCTTAATTGTATATTGCTTCTCTAGTTTAATTACATTACATGGATTTTTAATTACATCGTCTTCTTTCGTCTCTTTCTGTACATCATCTTTTCCCAACTTTCTTTTCGCGCTATTTTTCTTTCTTATCTCTACATTATCTTCTACATTATCCTCTACATTATCTTCTTTCTCCGTTTTTATTTTCACATTAGTATTTTTTTTTTTTTTTGTATCATTCACATCGTTGTTCTCTACTATTTTGATTTTACAAACTTCTTTCTCTCTCATTGCCAATTTTTTCATTTTATCTGTCTTCTCCGCTTCTTCCTCATCTTCAATCTTTATTTTCTTTATCTTTTCTTTCTTCTTTTTCTTCAGATTATTCGTGTAATTGTCTATCTCCATTCTGTGTTTCTAATATATCAATTTTAATTTCACTATTTAAAATTTACGTTTTCTTCTAAAATACTATAAAAACCTTTAAAAAAAAAAAAGCTATAAAATCTTAAAACCAAATTAACCTTAAAAAATCAGAAGTATTCCTGCCGTTAAAATTTTAACAATTTATCTTCGGCAGACAGCACACACTGCGTGACCAATTTACATTCAAACATAAGAACTTTGTGTCACTTTTGACATATGACTTCTAATTTTTCAAAAATCTTTATTTTTTTCTCGAGTTTTAATTAAAAAACTACCTCTCGATAACACCCCCGCAAAACATTACTTAGGTTATGTTTTTTCTAACGGCACAAGTGCGTGTATATACAAGGCGTGTTTTCAGATCGATTTAAAGAGCCGTTCTCAGTCTTCTTTTTGATTCGAGTAACTTTCCTCGTGCGTTCTGTTCCGATTGGTTTAAATTTCAATCCGTAATCTGGCTTTAACGATTCGCAGCGCTATACCGTAGATACGAGCGTACTACCGCACGTCATTCAATAGTGCAAGCAGATCGGAGCGAATGGTTTTTTTTTTTTTTTTTAGGTTAGGTTAGACGCGGTTGATCGATTAAAAGAGAGAGAGAGAGATCTTCAAAGTATCAAGTTAGAGAATGAAATAATTTTTATCGGAAGCACGTTAATCGACAGAACACACAGAGTATACAGTCCATTTATAGGCCTGGATAACTTCAAGAGCAAAACTTATCCCACAATTAATGAGAAACAATACAACATGGCCTCAGCATCGAGCACAAGTGCGCGCAGCCTGTTCGTTGAGTCAAAGATGAGATTGGCGGATAGAGTGCAAGTCAATGTAAACAATATCGCCTCTCTCGCCAGGCAGATACAACGGGGCTCAAAGAGCAGTGATGTAATGTACTTCTTTGTTTCTTTAATTTCGATCGCTGCTGCGGCCGCGATCGGCCCGTTAATTTCTACACACGCGTAGCATATTTTCCCATCGTCATTTTCCTCTCCAGATCTTGATGCACGCGGCGAGAAACTTCGCGCAACAGGAACACGGTTTGGAAATGATGGAGAGCAACTTGAAGAAACTATCACTCATCGCCACTCACTTGGAATATCAGATGGACGCGATTGACAAAAGTTCAGCGATGCTCGAAGAGGTCACCGAGCAAGTGAGATCGATGCAACGATAACGTATTGATGAGACGTACGTATAAAATGTGTGTTTTACATGAGATTTCTTTACACGGATTGTCTCCGCAGGATTTATTTATTCAAATCAATGTGTACGATATAAATTGTTATGTTGCAAATTGTGTTGTGTAACTAGATATTATTAAAGTTTAAAATACATATTTGTGTTTACAATTTGTAATGCAATAAGTTTACTTGCGATATTCGATTTAAACAGAACTCTCTCTTTCTGCACTGTCAAGTGTAATAAAAAGTTTAAATATTGTGACTCTGTGTAAGATCGCTGTAAGTTTTCTGTGATACATTTGTACAAAGAGAAAGAAAATCACGTTTATCATATAACAGCAAACAATATTTATTCCTCTTAGATTTAATCAACAAATGTTCAATAAAGTGTTTTTTTTTTATGATCTTCCCTCTCCTTGTTTTATCATTTGTCCTCTGAACTGATGGTGTATTCGATGTGATAATTTTTTTTTTCTAGGAAAAGAGGAAAGATGTAAAAATATACACGCGTTTGCGCGAATTCTGCCATTTATTCCAACAAGTTAGGGTTTTTGTAACATTTGACAGAACATAGATGCATTTGTGGATAGTTGTCTTTGGGAATTTTCAAACACACGCACTTGAGGGATCAGCTTTTTTAGTGTTTAAATATAATATATTACATATTACATTATGTAAATAACAAAAGAAAACAAACAATTAAGCCACGATTGAAAACAGAGTTACAGTAAAATTTGGTCACAGAAATCGCATTTTTTATATTAACTGTTTGTATTAGAAAAACTCTGTTTAACATCAAATTTATCAGGGATAAAGGATATCGTAATGACCGGGACGATATAATAAATGCACAGCTGGTATGGCACCTTCAGGGAAGTCATGAGCAGTGACTTCAGTTCCCGCACCCCTGTCCATATAACGAACTCTAACACCGGTTCCTAAAGCGCTACTCATTGCTATAATATGAATATGATCGGACTCTTTATACATTGGTTCAACCTCCTGTGAACAAAAACTATGTTTAGACAAATATATTGTGCGCACAAAAAATTGTCACGTATGTAAATGACGAAAAAGTGTTTGCGAACCTGATGGCAGAACTCTATGATGGTTCGTTCTCCTTCGATAAAATGTTGATAAAAGTCGGCGTCGCGTTGTAACTGACCAGATGTGATTAATCTAAGATACACAACAACGTAATCGGAATAACCTTGTTCATTGAACAACTTATGCAATTCCATATAACTGGATTCTGTGTCGCTGCCACCCACTTTGTCAATTACTTCCATGAACTGTGCAACAACACAAATTTGTTCAGAATCAAAATCTCTTTGCCAAAATTTTGCAAAATGGTTAAAATTGCGAGAAACGTATAAACGTTACCGTATCGTGAAAATCTTCGACTGTAAATTGAGGAAAACCTAGAGCTACAAGATTATCCTTGCTTTTTAAAGCTAAATCACGAAACTTGTCGTATTCCTCCTTATTTCCAATTAATTTTTCCAAGTAAGCATAACTAAATGCTCTGAAGAAACAGTTGCCATCAGGTCTCGTTCTCCTGATATAAGAATACTTCTGAGCCAAGGTTTTGGCTTTTGAAAGGTATATGTCGTCCTCCCCATATTCTTGCTCTAAGCTCTTCAGCGGTTCCTTCTCGCCGACTAACGCTATAGACTCCGAGATCTAAAATATAAAACAAGTTTTTCCTCAAAAGAAAATTCTGATGACTCATCTGTCTTGGTAACGGGAAGTATATTTTTACTTTACTCAAAGACACAATTATTTCTAAATATATTTAATAAAATAAACTTTTTATATAAGAAAGAAAAGTAATCTTTTGAGAGAAGATTAATCTTCAGAATTTACGATTTTATATTTTCGATCGCACGTAAATTAAAGAAAACCTGATTGTTCTCTAATTGACTTTTCCAAAAAAAAAAAAAAACACTTCGAAATACACATGGCACAAAAGTGTATATTAACCTCTTTCTCGATACGTCTCTGTTGTTGAAGTATCAACTCATCCTGGTTAACTTCTGTAAAAAAAAAATAGGACGAAATGAAACAACGAAACACTGGACACAAATATTCGCAATGATAAATCAAGCCACGAGACCTGTGTTCTCTACAGAATGATCTTTTAGCGACTTATCTCCCATATCTCAAATGATTTTTGTTAAATTTCACGACGCCCGTTCTAAAGTCACCTCGAGTTGTCAATCGTAAACAAAAGCCCGATGTCTGCGTGTCAGGTTGATGGTCGGTCGGTCGGCTGGTGCCGCAATGGCGAACGAAGAACATCTAGCGGGCATTTGTCCAAGTGCCAAGACGCGTTTGATAGAGAAAATATATATTTGCAGAACGTGATATTTATGCGATAAACAATTTTTTTATGTTCTTTGCAAAAGTTTCTTTTTGTTTAACATTTTACACGCGTATGACAAAGAAAGATACTCTCGTATTATGTAATCATTTCAAACGTCATTTTCAATTTTGGCGCCAAATCACATGCCGCAATGTTGCAGGGACATTCGACGCGTTCGACGAAGTCTGGTGAGGTTTTCTGATGGACGTCTTGCTCGGTCGCCGACAGATGGCGTCAGCGATCAACTTTTTGCCGGTGGCGTCGCGGTTTCAAAAGTGCACCGATCGACAAGAGACACGGGAAATGCGGAGAACCGAAGAGATTTGATTTTGATTAACTCAATCAACCGATTATTTCCGTTGGAAATGGCCGGATTCGCATTGGTATGTGTGTTTGCTACTTATATTACTCCGACGATTCATTAATTATTCGCGCGCAACATCGATTATTGAATCGCTTGCAATTAATTTTCGCGGGCGCGAGTTTTTCCGCGTTAAACACACGTCGATATACATCGAATGTCGCGAGCGAACCTTTGCGAACTCGAGCCTTCTTTTCGCAACAATTTTCTCGCAGATTACAAATTTCCTCGTTGTTTCGTAATGAAACCGCGAAGGGACCGTGAGTCGCGAATAATTAAGGATTATATCCTGGGAGCGTGACGTGGCAGATAATTAGCTGCAGGTATATTCGCCCAGGAGAGCATCGGTCTACGCTAATCCGTCTCGTATACCAGCTTGCGATCGCGTCCGCAATCGTGTTGTTCTTCCGGTCTGGTGAACAGTCTCGATTCCACGCGCGACACCGAGTTACAGTCCCCCTTTCCCCTCTCGCCCCGCAATTGCCACATCCGGTTTGATACCGCGCTTACGGAAAATTTAATTCCCAACAATTGTACTATCATCAATAATTTGATGTTAACCGCTTTTATCATCAACACACGGGCTTTATAGTAATTTTCTATTATTTTGCGCATCCGCACGTTGCCATCGTGCGCGTTTCAAATTGTTCTTTTTTATTTTTGTTAAACTTAATTATTTTGTTAAATTTAAGATTATCGCAACAATTTTTTTGTTCGCAAAAGGTGCAGCAACAATTTCTCTCCCAACGTCCAAGCGAATGGTATCTTTGAGTTTTGATTGTTTTTGTTATTTACCACCGCGTGCGCTTTTCTTTTGGTCGTGCCGCGCACATCCTACGGCAGTGGTCCTACGGATGCGCGGAATTTTTTTTCGAGCGAAACCGAGCGAAACCGTCGGGAGACGCTCTCTCCTCCGCTCGACGGGAGGGGGTGAGGAGGAAGCGATACGAGGATGAGAGATCGTTCTCTCCTGTGGACACTCCATTCGCGAGTGTGGAATTAAATTGCGAACAGATGCTCAGAAATCACCCGCTCGCCTATTCGCACGCGCTTGTTTTTTATTGTGTCCTCCCCTGTCTCCTCCCTACGTTAAGCTTCTCACCCGCGCGCGCTCTCCCGGGAAGCTAAAAGCGGTTTAAAGCGCCGTTCTGATTAGCGACCGGCCGTGGACAAAGCCGCGTGCGGAGGAGAGAGAGAGAGAGAGACACACTATTTTTCCGGATTAATAGCCAAGGTTTTTTTTTGCGTTTCATACCTACCTGCGGGCTCGCTGTATCTCGTCCCGGCCGCGTCCCTTCCAGGAAGAACGCCGGGAATTTCGGCGATTAAGCGCGACTATCGTTCCTCCTCGTTACATATCTCATTTCATTTGCATGCAAACAAGCGGCGTAAACTGCAAATTTTGTCGGTTAAGAGGAAACCTTTGTTTAAACTCTTTGATTTAATTTTTTCTCCCGGAGCGGAGAAGAAAGCGCGCGCCGTCTGCGATGAAGCACGCGAATTAAACTATTAGAGAAACAAAACCGGTAAAAGGTTTCTCTCTTCTTCTCCTCCCCTCTCCCAAACGCTGGATGCACAGAGATATATATTTTTTAACATGTAAATTAATTACCGGATCTTTGTACGAACAGCGAGAAATTAAATGTGAACTTTATTTTACGCGAAGGCGCGCAATTGTTCTAATGCGCTCCGCGCGTAGAATTCCGCCGCGTTTCGTTTTTGTGCTCACATAATTAAACGTCACGGGAGTGAGGAGGGGCGAGGGGAGGAGAGAAACAAACGAAAGATCGAATGAAGTCGCGAAGTATATTTCTGTGAATGCGGGACGTATCGGATGCCATTAACGCGCACACACGCGTAGCGCGGTGTAGCTATTGTTACGATAAGCGTAGAGCAAGTAAACGCCGAGGCCCGGCCACACGCCATTGTTTTCGCGGTATCTAACGAATGGTTAATTACCGTGCGGCGCGCGGCCACGCAGGAATGCGTTATTGTTTGCAAGTACTGAAAAGGATGCAACCGAGACAGACCGGCCGATCCGGGGGATATATATGGCGAATGAGAGAGAGAGAGAAAGAGACAGAGAGAGAAAGGGGAAAGAGGAAGGAACAAAGGAGGAAGGAACGGACGGAAATAAGAACGAAATGCTTTGGAAATTTCAGCGAAAGCGGAGGAGGTCGAAGCGCGAATGAAAGAAAGCGAAAGAAGAAACACGCACGGAACAGAGAATCTCTCTCTTTCTCTTCCTCTCTCCTTCCCACTCTCTCTCTCTCTCTCGGTTCAGCCTCGTTTCCCGGCTCATTAGCCTCAAAATGGCGTCTAATCTGATTCACGCGGCTCCTTGCTACGGTTCGCGGAACACGACAGAGGAGATCTTCGATTACTTTCGGGTGACGGTAGCTGCTTCGCCGCTCTCTTACACCGCGTCGGGAAAAGATGCGCGGGGAGAACGACCGCGTTGCTCTATATACAGAACAGTCTGATCGAACGAATTATCGGGCCAATTGTGAACTCCTCGCTCCCACACATCTCTTATCCGGAGCAACGGAAATACTATTTGCGGTGCGTGTTGGATTTTCACTCGATCAATTCGTGAGGAGAAAACCGGATCGGGATAAAAGATGTATCCTGAAAAGAGAGTGTTTCGTCACGTGTAATGCTCTTTGTGAACTTCTCTTTGCGAATTCGCACACGTCTGACGTAACTCGCGCGGCCGATTAACCGTCCGCGTGTCCGACCGTCACGCGGGGAGTTTCCACTCGCCGGCAATCAGTGAAACGCCCTCGTCAATGGTCGGACGCGGAAAATTTAATTTGATACAATTCGCGCGCGATACACGTTTTTTTTTCAATGCGTAAAAACAGAACAAAACAAAACAAAAATTTTCATCCGCTGATCATGTTTGCGGGTTGGTCGATAAATCTCGAAGATACGTTCCGCGAAAATCTAAAGATTCGCAGTCAAGCACGTTCGCATTATTGTTCTTCCTTTATGACATTTCCCTTCATGGATAATTCCGCACGTTCGCGGCCTTTTCTCCGCTCGCTCGTTTTTTATTTTTTCTTCTTTTCTTTTTTTTTTTTTGCGAGTTTTATCCACTTGGAAGAAACGAGCGCCGCAAGATGGATATAGAGATCTCTCGCTAATTGAATCGTCGTCGCCAGAAGAAATAGCTACTTGCGCACACAGAATTGGATTTTCCGATCATTAAGTAGACCGGCTCTTTTGTTTCTTTTTCTTGTCGAGTTTTGTTAGCACAGCGCGAGAGAGAATGCTTCGTTCTTTCGAATTTCACGAAAATCAATCGCGCCGCGCAACTTCGATAACAAACCCCGAAAACCACTCCGAAATCTCAGAATTTTACAACGCGCTCGACGTGTTAAAAATATATTCGCTCTTATATAATAATTCAAAGTATTTTTATCTTAAAAAGTATATTTTCTACGATCTCTATTTTTACGAATCTCTTTTATTAGAAAGAGAGAGAATGATCGCGTTGGGATGCACAGCTTCTCGCGCGATCGAGAAATTAACGAATAACGATAAAATTTCGCTGTCGTCATAATTCGGCGGTCGCGCCGAACTCACCTCGCCGCGAAACGTGTATCACCCAACTATTAGTTTCCGCAAACATTATCGGCGAACACGGCCCTAAGCTTATTAAACAAATTTCCCCCGTTATAAACGGGACGACACCATTAAAACCCATCCTCCTTCCTGTGTTCAGCCCTCGCTTATGCACTCCTCGTTTAACTAACGCGCGGTAACAGCCTCTCTCGTGCGAAGTATTAAATATTCGCGAAACGAGGGAGAGAGAACTGGTGCGTGTCGCAAAATTCGTCGTCGATGGTCTTCCATCGAGTGGCGCGCAAAATAAGCGCGTATCTCAATTTACACGCAAAACCGTGTGGAGGAGGAATTTTAAAATGGTCGCGCGATGGAGAGAAAAAATTTGAAAAAATTTGAAAAAAAATAAAAATTTATATATTATGTGATTATATAAACTCAGAAAAAATTGCGACAAGAACATATATATTACTTATCGTAGGCGAACATTCGTGTGTGCAAATCGGTTTATCTTGCGTAATAAAAATTGAGAGATCCTTTTAAACGTTTTTATCGTTTGACTGTGTATAAAACGGTAAGTGTAGCATTTTTTTTGTATTTCACACTCTATTTAAAATCAACGACGATATTATCGATACTGTTTTATCTGTGCCATTTTTTATTGTATATTTTTTATAATATAGTTTTTTTATAATATAATTAATATTTTAACTTTACAGTACAGTATTTATAATTTACATAATTAAAATTAAAATTTTATATCTTGTATATAAATACCGTATGGCTTTTTGGAGACGGAGATTTTCAACGCGAAAAGCGCAATCGTGAAATTCCCGTTGCATCTTTCTCTCTGCTGTCGATGCTCGTCGCGCTAACAATCGCACTGATATCTGTGCCTCAATAAAACAGCTGTATATAATATGATATATACTATGATATATACTATAATATATATAATATGATATAATAA